AATGAAATGCCAAGTGATATGTGTGGCATATTTCAACAGTATCCTGGACCAGCAATTGATAAACCTTAACCTATGTATTTAGTTTCTTGTGCTGCAAAAAGAAAAAAATCTGAGGCTTCTCTAAACATTAAACAAGTTCCTTAAGTTTAAGCAGAATGCAAGGCTCCCTTTGCCTTTGATGTTTGTTGATGCAATTATCTGTAGCTTCAAGGACAGCGAACAATGGTACTGAAATGTCTCTCACCTTTGACCTTAGCATTCTTCATATGCACATTAGTTAGCAAAGGCTTCTGGGGTGTGTGGAAATCACAATGTCAAAATAATCTCTTAATAATTTCGCATAAATCTTTAGCTTCATATATTAGATAAAGCTATATGCTTCTCATTAATTGAGATGACAATTAACAGAGAATAGACCAAAGTGTGTTTACACCGGCTCCGGTGTTTTTAATAAGCTCAGCTACTGTATGGCACATCTGCTTGGCTAAGTGAATTTAGCGCTCATGCAAAATGCCATATGGCCTCACAAGGGACTCAGCAGCACCGGTGGAGACAGACCTTTGCCTTTCGTCTATTATTAACTGTTGGAGGTACACTGAGGAAGAGAAGAGTGGACTGCATTTTAGAAGCCCTTGCAAAACAGCACTCAAGTCCCATTTTGAAATGAATTTCACTCCCATCTTCCTGACACACTGATTTATTTATTTTTTGATGGTGGGACAAGAAGAATTGCTGGGCAGTCAGCTCTACTTAAACTGTGACCTTTAACTATTTGCACTCTTCTTTTTTAAAGCCTTGTCTTCTTGACTATATAATTCACAATAGTTGTACCAGATAACCCAGATTGCAGAGAATGCCTTGATTTGGAAGCTTCATAACACCCCTCCCCCGTCCATTTTCCTTTTCCACTTCTAGTTTGTCACATATAGTTATATTGCAAATTCCAATTAAGAGTTTCAGTGAGATTTCCATGTGTGGCCAAAATCCCAAGGGATTTCTGCTCCCCCTTTAATTCTGTGCAGAAAACAGGGACAAGAAGATTGGGAGAGATAATTATAGGCTTCTTTCCCAATCTGCCAAGTAGAGCACAGGAACACAGGTGCAGAAAGAGTAGCTTTGTAGCCAGCCGTGTAGCACCTTCCCCAAGTGGTTATGAAGTGGTTATGAATGATGGACACAACAACTTAGATTGGATCAAATAAGGCCAAAACCTTACTGATGACAGATGTAAGATGTTTGGCATAGGCAACCATTCACTGCCAGAAGTGATGCCAATAATAATAATAATAATAATTTATTATTTATACCCCACCCATCTGGCTGGGCTTCCCCAGCCACTCTGGGCGGCTTCCAAAAAAATATTAAAATACTATAATACATCAAACATTAAAAGCTTCCCTTAACAGGGCTGCCTTCAGATGTCTTCTAAAAGTCTGGTAGTTGTTGTTCTCTTTGACATCTGGTGGGAGGGCGTTCCACAGGTAGGGCGCCACTACCGAGAAGGCCCTCTGCCTGGTTCCCTGTAACTTGGCTTCTCGCAGTGAGGGAACCGCCAGAGGGCCCTCGGTGGTAGACCTCAGTGTCCAGGTAGAACAATGGGGGTCAACTCGGCAGTGGGGGATTCCAATGACTTACAACAAACAGGGGGACCCCCACAGAGATTGCCGCCTTGAGGGGTGCTGGACACCTGGATGAAAGCAGGTGTTTCCTGGATCCCTTTAATGGGATACCCTACCTTTGGAGGGGCAGGCAGAGACTATCACCCTCCCCTCCACCCAAGACTAAGGTATATCCAATGCTTAAATGATCTGATGAGGAAGAAACTAGATGCCATGACCATAGCTGTCAACTTTTCCCTTTTCTTGCAAGGAATCCTATTCAGAATATGGGAACTTCCCTATGCATGGCAAGGGCAGGGCATCTTAAGTATCCTGGGAGTGGACCTGAGGGAAGCCTCCCTGCTCCGTCAGGCCCGCCCCCAAAGGAGGCCTTGCTTCCAAGCCTGCCTGTGATTGGCCAATCTTGCAGGTGGGCCTGGATCCATTTCCCAGCCAGCAAGGTGAGTGTCAAGCTCTCCATGCCAGCCAGAAAGGAAAGCCTCCCCAAGTGGTACTGAAAAAATATAAATGTTATTCCAGGGCATTAGAAGATAGTTTTCCTAGCAAGATAGGACTGCCATATTTCAAACAGTGGAAATCCAGACAGAAAAAAACTTTTTTTTTGTAAAGTTGTTGAGCTTTTCATTGCAAAAACATTGCTGTTTTTGAGCTATTTTTATGGGAAATTGGCAAAAACAACACTGCCGACTTAGGCTGCCATACGCCCAGATTTTCCTGGACATTTGACCAATTTCCAGCAGGAAACGGCTAGAGAGAGCAGTATTCCAGATATGTCCAGGTGTATGGCAACCCTATAAGACTCTCTGAGACAGGAGAACTGAAGGGAAGCACATTCTGACCTTGTTCATGAGCTGGAGGACACAGTGCTGTTTCAGGGTGTACTTTTCATTATTAGAATTTGTTGCAATCTGTCTTGAGAATCATTTGATTGAAAGGTAGAGTAAAACTAAGTTGCTCTGAAACTTTTGGAAGGAAGGAAGGAATAGGGCTGTGTCGTATTGGGCAGAAGGAAGAGGATGTCTGGATGTGCAGGGCAGCTTTGGACAAATTGGGACTGTTGCCCAAGGAGCATAGAAGTGTAATGTTTGCATAAAAGGGAGAAGTCTGCCAGTTGTGGTTTCTAGTAGAGCTGGACTCTTGTCATTTCTGTGTGCACAGTGCCTTTGGGGCAGGCGTCCAACAAAAATGGAAGGAAAGAGGCGATCACCCAATGGCTTTGACTGTGGCTATGGCAAAGGGCATGGCGGCAGCAGCAGAGCTCTGGTTCCCACTGTTGCCATTCCGCCTGCCTGGTCCCCCACCTCTGGGAAGGATGCTAGTGTGACCCTCTAAGGCCATAGTAAATATTAATGGCTGGCAGAGCTTCACTGCTAAGCTGCTAGCCAAAAAGCCAGGCTTTAATAAATCAATAAAAGAAGCGAAGGGTCTACCTCTCCCCCCATCCTCCTCTGCTCATCCCCCCTCCCCAATGGCCCCACATGCAAGAGTGGGGGCAAATTGAGGGCATCTATCCATTCCAAGTTTCTACCATCGCTGCCACACTGCACATTTCCCTATCTTCTGTCCTACCCTTAAGACTTGTGCATTAGCTGCCAGCCTCCTAATAAAAGGATCGGGGCGCTGGTAAATATGAAACATCCCTCAGATCCATTGGCAAGTTCACTTTGGGCTCATTTTACCCATAGCCCACAAGCAATAAGGAAAAACCTACCATCTCCCTCGGGGATCTAATAAGCAGCATTATTAACCCATCAGAACCTGAACTTGGATAAGTGCTTTATGATATAATAAACGTTGACAGGCCACAAAGCATCTTGCTGCATGAAGGCAGCAGAGCAAAGAAGCAGGCTATATAAACACTAGGTCATCAGCCCTTATATAACTTTAATCAAGATTAATCTCACTTTACCATGGCATGCTTTATTAAGATATGTGTGGTAGTCTCATTCCTGAAATGAAAAGAAAGGAACCAGAAAAGAAAATAGCACTTCATATAAGCAAACCTAGAGTGTGATCTGCCAAAGGTTTTGGTTGCCAAAGGCAGTATTGTAGTTGTTTTGGATTCAGATTGGCAAGGAAGATCACAAAAGTTGCTCTTTGATGGGTTTCATTTACAGAGTGAGAAAAATATACAATAAAGCAAGAGGAAACAGACATCATCTGTTGCTGGGGAATCCCTTCCCTTCCTGGGCAGGCAATGCATTGATCTCCTTACAGGCCATGAGGCAGCCTTGGTCAGCAGCAAGATCTGCCCTGGGCTTCCCACAGGCTGTGGGTGGGCTTAATGGGAGTGCTGGTGACATTTGATCACCAGCTTTGTGGGTGTCATTCCCGTGACCCTGTCCATGTTTCTGTCTGGCAAGGTCAAAGGAGTGGTTATAACCAATGTGGGGCTGCAAAGGGAGGTGATGGCTCTTCTCCATGGCACTTAACGTGCTGAGTCAAGGGGACCCAGGTGGCCCTATTTTGAAAGGACATGTGGCCTCATACCCTGCTCAGGTGGCCTTTCTATGATAAGTGATGATTCTGGCACACTGAATTGTTTTTCTTTATTTTTCTTTCAGAGGACAAAGTGTGGACGACTGTGAATCATGATTTGCAGGAACATTCCCCGGTGGTGAGCAAGAGGCCGGAGAAGCATGCTTTGCTGCAGCTGAATTACAGTGCCACCATGGATCAGATCTCTGCCATCACAAGCAGCGCTGAGTACTGTGAGCAGTTCATTTCCTACACCTGCAAAATGTCAAGGCTGCTGAACACCCCAGGTAGGCAGGCCATTTTCTAAACAAGTGTCCTGGTTTTGCATCTGGCCTAAATCTAATCCAAAGCGCTTCCTGGTGTGGCTCTAGTAATCCAGCCCACTTGGGATGGGGGGGGGTGTCCTTTATTTGTACTACCTTATTAATGATATTGTCATTTTTGTGTGCTGCTTATGAAATATTTATTCAGTTTGGGATGAGTCGTGCTGCCATTTCCATAAGCTAATTTTAATGTAGTGAATACAAAAAAGTGAATTCAAAAAGTAGCCTCTTCCATCCCCACATTCAACTCTTGTAAGAATTTTTATTTTTGCTGTTTCCATCTTTGTTTCTGTACAGAAATCTGATTTCTAAAAAGGAAGATGTTTCCAAGCATCTGCTTAGAAGCCACTCCCTCTGCCCTGGAAGTCTTAGGTGGGAGAGAGCTACTCAATGGGGAAGGAAATGCACTAAGGCCATACTCAGCAGTGCCCTGTCATTAGCATTTTAGATGTCACAGAGTTGAGTCCTTCTACTGAAAACAAGATCCTGGTCTTATTTAGAGACTCTTTGGGTGCAAAACAGAAGCAGGAGTGTCTCAAACTTCCTTTTCCTCTTCGTCTTCCAGTTCAGACTTTTGACCCTGAAATATACTCAGAGTCGCAAAGTGATTTCATGCTCTTTATTCAGCTCATAGTGGTGAGGAGGAATGAATGAATGTCCCCTCAAAGTATCTGCTTTATATACATTATTTACACAATGGGCTGCACATGATTGGCTAATTCTGGAATTCTACTGTAAGCCAATCAGGTTGTGGATTCACTTCTATCTGGAGCATGATTGGGTGGTTCCTGCCAACCAATCATAGTGCTGCATTGTTCTAGGACCAATCAGACTGCTGCATTCTGAATCCTATGGTTCTAGGACCAATCAGACTGCTGCAATTTGGATCCTATTGTTCTAGGACCAATCAGACTGCTGCAGTTTGGATCCTATTCAGCTCAGTACATAACACCCCTCCCCTCTAAGTTCCAGTCCTGCCCGGGAGGTCGCATTCATAGTCCTCGAGGTACGCCAGCGGCCTACGTGTGTGTTGCAGCCTGTGGTGTTCCCTGGTCCGGGGTTCAGGTTCTGGCTCGTGTTCCAAGGATGCTGGCTGTGATGGGGCTGTTTGGTCTGGCGCAACCGGCTCGCTCAGTCGTGGTTCTGGTTCCGGTGTCCTTTCGGCCTCGCGGGTCCTCTCTGTATTTACTGATTCTGCCTCTCCTGCTGGCCCCTCCTGCTCTATGGGCCTCACTGCCCCTCTGTTCCCTTGGGACTCCTCTGACCTTTCCTCCTCCTGGTTTTCTCCCGGGAATCGACGCCGTATCTGGTCACAGTGGCGGCACCAGCATTGCCCCCCATCCGTTAGCACCTCGTACGACACGGGGCCAGTGACCCTGGTGACTGTGGCGGGTACCCATGCTGGGCCTGCCCCAAAATTCTTTGCGTACACTGGGTCCTGGGCCTCGAAGGTCCGGGGGTTCCTGCCTTCCCCCCACCACTACCTCATCCTGAGCTCTATCGGGGTGAAGGTGGTCCAATCTGATTGCAAGGCGCCGACCCATTAGTAGTTCTGCGGGCTCCGGCCAGTCGTTGAGCTGGGGGTGCTGTGCTGTGCTAGAAGGAATGTGGCAAGGCGGTACTCCCAATCCCCTTGCGTCATGCGGCAGAGGGTGTCCTTGGTGGTCCGCACCATGCGTTCTGCTTGGCCATTGGTGGCAGGGTGGAATGGCGCCAAACGGATGTGGCGGATGGCGTTCTGCGCTGTGAAGGTTTGGAATTCTCCTGACGTAAATGCAATCCCGTTGTCTGAGACGAGAGTGTCAGGGAGCCTGTGGGTTGCAAACAGCCTGCGTAGTACCCGGATGGCTTCAGACATGGAAGTGGACGGTACCAGTGCGACTTCCAGCCATTTGGTGTAGGAGTCCACCACTATGAAGAATGTTTTCCCCTGAATGGGGCCAGCGAAGTCCACATGCAGGCGTGACCATGGTGCTCGGGCGGACTCCCAGGACTGGACTGGGGCCCTTGGGGGATCTGGGCGGGATTCTTGGCAGGCCTGGCAGTGTTTGACCCAGGCCTCTATCTCTCCGTCGATCCCCTGCCACCACACGTAACTCCTGGCCAGGGCCTTCATTCTTACTACCCCTGGGTGTGTCTCGTGTAGGGCTGTGAGGACCCTTTTGCGGAGGGGCTGGGGAACAACGACCCTGCTTCCCCATAACAGGCACCCCTTGTGGGCCGACAGTTCATGTTTGTGGGTTGTGTAGCCAGCGAATTCTGGCCCAGGGCTGCTGCTGGGCCATCCCCTCCACACCCAGTCCAGGACCCGGGAGATGACCCTATCTTTCTTGGAATGGTGTGCAACTTCTTGTGCCTGAATGTGGCTGTCGGGAAGCAGCTCCAGGCTCATAACCTCTTGTGCAGGTGCTGGGTCGGGGCCTGTTTCCGGTAGTGGTAGCCTGCTGAGGGCATCCACATGGCCCATCGCCTTCCCCGGGCAGTGAATCAGTGCATACTGGTAGCTGGCAAGGAAAATTGACCACCTGAGGACACCTGAGGAGACAGCACTTGGGGAGTCTGCTTTTCGGGGGCAAACAAGCCAAGCAATGGCTTGTGGTCAGTCACCATGGTAAAGGGCCGCCCGTACAAGAAATCATGGAATTTTTTTCTCCCTTCACGATTGCCAGCCCCTCCTTGTCTATTTGCGAGTAGTTCCGCTCGGTTGCGTTGAGTGTCTGGGGAAAGTATGCTACCGGTACCTCTCTTCCCTCCGGGAGTTGGTGTCCCAGGACAGCGGCAATGCCATAGGGCGAGGTGTCGCATGCTAGCACCACCGGCAGCCTCTCGTCGAAGTGTGCCAAGACCGAGTTTGAGACAAGCAAGTCCTTGACTGCCTGGAATGCGGCCTCCTGGCGCTGGCCCCACACCCAAGGGGCCCGCTTGTCCAGGAGTCTGTGTAGGGGCTCCGCTACCGCCGCCTTGTGGGGAAGGAAGGAATGGTAAAAGTTCAATAGTCTGAATCCTATGGTTCTAGGACCAATCAGACTGCTGCAATTTGGATCCTATTGTTCTAGGACCAATCAGACTGCTGCAGTTTGGAGCCTATTCAGCTCAGTACATAACAGACCCCCTCCGTGTGAGCGCTTGTGGGAGCTTGGATGGCTATTAATACAAGCTTTGTGTGTGTTGTTGTGTCCTGAACATGCACCTCCGTTTTTATTATGATCTTCAAGGAAGAAATTGCGTTACAATATATTTTGTGTTTTGCATCTTGCCTTCCTCGCTGGAAAATGGGCATGGGATCTAACTGTTGCTTGAATCTGAAGCACAGAATTGCACTTGGAACAAATGTACCAATTTCAGCCTGACACCTCAGGGAGACATAAAAGCATGTTGCTAATAAAATTGCAAACATGGAATGATAAATGTGTGAGGTAAACCAAAGGCCTCACTTTGCTCAGGTAGTCAAAGTTTACAAAGTTTACAAAAGCACCTTAAAGATCAAAGAACTGGAGGTTTATAAGCAGAGGTTGGATGGGCATCTGTCCTGGATGCTTTAGCTGAAATTCCTGTGTTTCAGGGGGTGGACTAGAGGGCCCTTGGGGTCCCTTCCAACTCTACAATCTTATGATTCTATTATTGTATGGCTGACAGACTTCAATAGCTATGATTCTCCTAACTTGCTAATTTTAGAGGGGTGGCAGTTTCCAAAGAATTGGGAGGTGTTTACACAGAGAATCCCCATTATATTTTGTTATGTCTTCTTTGAACTACACCTATTTTAGATCTGGCCCACAGGATGTTCTCAGAGAATTAGATGCATTATTATACCACACACAAGCACACAAACACATTTTGCTTCCAAAGAGCGAGACAGGGAAAAACAAATCAATGCAGATCATTTTAAGTATTGTTTACATCCCGCCAGTGGCTAGTCTGCGCACATCTTACATCGGTGATTTACACAGTGGAAAAGCAGAAGCTGATCCATTTCTTCTGTAAATAGCCTGTTCCTCAGCTCTGTTCAGCAAGTGGCCAGCTCCTTTTTGTCCCTATCCTCCTCTTCTGTTTACTCTTTGGGAGTGTTGTCTTATAATACATAATGATACACTTCTTATCTTAGAATATAAAATTCTGTGGCTTCTTCTCCTGGAGAATTTTACAAATAAATCACACTGGGCTGGCGTGCGTGCAGGTGGAGCAGGGGGACTAGATAAAAAACATAAAAATGGTTTTTGCTTTTGTAGGGTGATGATATTTTAGGCCATATCACAACTAGGCAATATTTGGTTTTCAACATTTCAATATATCACCTGCTAAACATCATGATATACCAATAGATCACAATGTCTGAAATAAAGATGGAGCTATGTAGAGGCATTGGCTGGCTTCACGTTTTCTCTAGCATCATGATGTTTTTCGGCACTGCTCTTGTGATTTGCTGCCCCCTGCATTAGGGAGGGGAGAGCTGAGCTGGCAGAGTTAATGTGAAGAAGGAATGCAGGAATCAAGAGAAGCATTGGCTGGCTTCATGGTTTTTCTCACTGTGATTTTTGAATTGCACATACACACACACCATGATTTGCTACTTCAAACTGGTTTTGGACAATATATTGCTCAGTCCAAACACACATTACGATTCGCAATATATTACCAGGCCAAAAATTATGAAACCAATATCACACTATGGGCTTCAAAATGGTTTTTGACGATATATTGATATATCGCCCAGCCCTAATCACAAGAGATGTTCCTGCTCAGGTGCTCAGAGCATCCAGCTAAGTCAATTCAACTGCTTGTGTGCTTGTACTTTTGTATGGAGGGGAAACTGGTTTAAAAACACTCGTGTCAGATGTCATTCTGTACCCTAGAAGCATTCCTTTCTGTTGTAATGAGGAGGAGGAGGAGGAGGCTGATGTCAGTCCGAGACAAGGCAGTGCCCTCTAAGGTGCCAGAGCAGGAGGCACCGGCCAGTCCAGTAAGCTATGGCAACTTTCATTTTATACACTGAAAATTCTCTAGTTGGGAAGTGGCAGTTTCTGATCAGCCTCCCTCAGGTGGTGATGCAATAGTGATTAATGCTGGTCACCGACAACCATAACAGCGGTGGTCAAGGGCAAGGCAGCCATGGCAAGCCAGGGTTGAGGCAGATTTGTGGCTGCCTCAGATGCTCAGAGCAGGAGAGGAGCAGAGCAGGAGCAGAAGAAGATCCAAGGTCAGCTGGTTGACAAGAAGCAGGCAGGCCAGACTCTCAAGGAGAAGCAAAGCCCAGGTCAGTCAGAGTCAGGACAAAGGGACAGTGTGGGTGGGTGTATGAAAGAGAGAAAGAATGTTTGTGCCTGGAGAAAATGATATAGACTAGGTTCGTGTTGCTTTCATCCTCCTCCATTACTGTAAACGTATTTGCTACCCCACATATCCTCTGATGATAGTGTCTGAAGCATCAGTTGCCCTATAAAATGTGTTTGGAGGCTGAAACCAAATGAGAACTGATCATTAGGCCCATTACAAGAACATCTAGACAAGTTCTAGGCAAGGAATCTAGAACTGATTATAAAAATGCTTGATTGGACTTGACTAAAAGATCAGTGGGTTTCAGCTATACTCTTCGTAAGCCGACAGAGTTATGATACCACCTACTGGAAGAAATTAGCCAAAATAAGTTTTAAACCCTCTCCCTCCTCCTGATTACTCCAGGCTCATTCTCTTTGAATGACATCTGGAATCACAAAGAGGTTTTTTACTTCACAACAGAAGCAATAAAGTGGCAAGCAGAATATTTGGGTTCTGGAGATGAACATGTGGGGTGTAAGGAATTGGTAAAAAAAAATGCTCCATAACTTAAAAAAATATATATTAAACCTTTTGAGGGCTCCTTTAAGTCCACGTATGGTTTTGGTTAGTGGTTTATGGCTCAGAGTTGTTCAGTGGGATATCTTAAATGTGCCAAATAATGGAGTAGGTGAAGTGTCTTGCTGATTCAAAGCGAAAGCCCAGCTGCATCAGCATTCCTGCTGCTTCCAACACTGGCCAGCTCAGACGCAAGCAAAGTCATACTGGTGAAGGCAAAGACTTCTGTCCTCAATATGTCAATTTATCATTGGCTAGTTTTCATCTGAATTATATTTTAGAGAATCATAGAGTTGGAAGGGACTCTGAGGGTCATCTAGTCCAACCCCCTGCAATGCACAGATCTCAACTAGATCCATGTATGTTAGGTCCACTCACCTTTTCCTGGTGGGCAGTGTTGCGGCTGGGCAGCTGGGACACAACAGCTTACTGGCCTAAGGGGCAGAGGGGCACCGCCTCTCCCCCTGCGTCTTGCTGGCCGCGTCATCATTGCTGGGGTTCTTCCCCCTGTGGAACAGCCCCAGCCAGTCAGCTTTCAGGGTGGGTGTGGCCGCGGGCGATTTAACTGCAGTGCGAGCGGGCGGTTCCCTCTCTCTCGCCCCATCACCAGATCACTCAAACCCCCACCCTCTTTTTATGCTTTGCTCAGATATGATCTTGCTTGTCATTTGCCATAGTGTTCAGGCCAGGTAGGAATTTTTCCGTTTGGCAAGCTGGCACCGGCCATTTGGTTTTTGCTACCTGCTAGCAATCATCACAACTTTTGTGAGATTAGGCATTGGGTAAACCTTTGTTTGGAGGGAGGGGAGGTTGCCTTCGCCTGCCCCTCCTCAGTAAGGGCACCCTGTGAAAGGGATCTGGGGTGTGAATGCTGTCCGAAGCCTGGGCTAGGGCCATGTCACAGCCCCTACAGGGACCCCTTGGGGTGCCCTTATTTGATGTAAGTCATAGGGCTCCCCCTATTGGTGGTTTACCCTTAAATGGACTCCTTACAGACAGGCAGGAGTCAAGGTATAGCTTGGCTTCACCCCAATGCCTAAGCCAAACCGCTCACATCTGTAACCAATAAAGTTGTGCCCTATTTGAATCCATTTGAACCCATGTGTTTTATTGTTCTCCTGGCAACTTTGTGGCTCAGGTGCCTTGGCACGCAACTGGCCATCCCACCTCTGCTTAAAAACCTCCAAGGATGGAGAGTTCACCCCCATCCCCCAAGGGAATCCGTTCCACTGTCCAACAGCTCTTACTATTGAAAAGTTCTTCCTGATGTTTAGTCAGAATCTCCTTTCATGTAACTTGGATCCAACGTTCAGGTCCCATCCTCCGGAGCAGGAGAAATAGGCTTGGCTTTCTTGCTTATTTTCTTAACCCACATAATGCTTTATAAACAGCATAAATGGAGGGCATCAAGAGATTTTTAAAAGAATATTTGTATCAAAGCAAAAGATAAAGATTGCCTGTGCTATATTTTTTAAAAAAAAAACAACAACCAGAAACAGTATTGATAGGCATGGGGGACAGAAAAATCAATAAAACAAGCTTGCTGCAAAAATTGATTTGGACATGAGCAAACAACGTTTTAGCTGCATCTGCTGCTTAGAAATCTCTTGCCCTTTGATGAGCAGTGTCACTGCTGGGGTGGTGAAGTCAGAAAAGCATTACAAGCACCAGAAAGGCAGAATTGCAGCAAGGCATCACCTGCAATTAACGAGAGAAAGCTCTAGCTAGAAACTGGATGTTTAAGGCATTGTGTGAAGTGGCTCCCTTCTTCTAAAAAGATTAAATTCCAAATGTGAGAAATCATTACTTAGGAGGCAGGACAAATATTGCTTAGGAGTGCCCCTGCTACACTTGTTCTGCCACCATGGTGAACATGCAGACTCATTGGAGAATCATCTGGCATTTCCTATTTTGAGCAGAATCCCAGACTTATTCATAGGTGAGTTACATGAGAACAGCACTTGCCCCTATAAGCATTCCCCAGGCACGCTGCCATTTTCAGATGCATTAACCACCTTTAGCAGCCCATGCATGTGTTCTGTTACCCTGCCTGCAGCCCACCCAGCTGAGCTGCCAACAGTTGGTGTGTAATGTGCCCGTGTGCTTTCAGCTGGCAAGGGTGGTGCAGTGCTTTGGCTTAGGTGGGGCCATATCCCTGAGCAGCCATGAATTTCCCAGGGTGCCTTGAGCCAGTCACTGCCTGAGCCTAGCATACTCAGCGCCAAGGGGTCATGGGCCAGGCCAGACCTGCCTTCCAAACCTCCAGGCTTGTAAAATATCACTTGAGCAAAGGACATCATCACTCCTGCTGTGAAAAAGGTCCTGGAGGTGTGACGCTCCCACGCAGGGCCAGATTTACGTATAAGCTAAACAAGCTATAGCTTAGGGCCCCACTCTTTGAGGCCCCCCCAAAAAAGTAAAGAAAAAAAGCAACTGGGTGTACATTTCCAATTACTTTGATAAAATACATATTTTGTTATGTGCAAATGACTTGATATTTTGTTATGCTGAAATTGTTAATAAAAAAAATTAAAACAAAAAACCCAACACCAAACATATTGCACAATAGGACTGGGGAACGTGTGGTCCTTCAGGTGTGGCTAAACTGCAACTCGCATCATCTGGACTATTGTATTCCCTCATCATTGAATACAAACATTGATGGGATTTAAATGCTTATTGATGACAGAAAAACATTCTGCCTGTGTTTCAAGCCCTCGCTCTGGTCATATACTGTAACAACCACATGTTGGCCAGGGATTATTGAAATGGCTTCTGGAGTTAATCCCTAGAATATCATGGCCCAAATTTATATATGAAAAACATCTATAAGAAGCGGAACTTCTTTTATTCTAATGCTTCTGTTATATTTAAATTAGGTAATAGGCATGTCTCGTCCTCAGTTACCTGAGGGAAGATGGTAACTAGGTAGCAGGTAAAAAAGATGACGACAACTTTCCCTGGTTCCTAGTGTGGAGTTATTCACAAGAATTTGCAGATACCTAGCCTGGTCTCCTCTTGTGATCATGATGAGGTGCCAGTTTTGTCACATACAGAGGCTCAAATGCTTGTGCTTTCAGATATCTGATTGTGCAGAATGCAATCGGGGGGGGGGGGGACTCAGCTTAAAATAACTTCTCTGTTCTATTGAGGGAACTAATCTTTCTCTTAAATTGCTGACAGCTCAACACAGGTGGTGGTAACCTGGGGCTTGCTCAGGGCACTGCAGGTTGAGACTTGCATCTCCTGTAATCAGTCTGATTGTCAATGGCACTTCATTGGTGTACAGAACATGCTTTTTATTATCGTTCTCTAATGCTTTTTCTCTTGGTAAAGGAAATAATGGTAAATTTAAATTGTCGTTTCCTAACTCTGCAAAGATTTTCTTTCTCTCCCCTCCCCCACACAACTACTCCTAACTCCAGGTCTCTTCATCCTCATCATCCTTTTAAATTACATTCTGTTTCATTAATTAAATACAATCCTCCCATATTGATATGGGGATTTTTTCAATCGCACTAAGTTAATATTGTGTTGTAAACTGCCCTGTGATCCTCTGATGAAGGGCAGTATAGAAATTTAATAAAATAATATGCAAAACAGATCAGACGTAAAATACAATGGGAAAAACTTATTGACTCTGTTTGGATAATTTTTAATTAGAGAGAGTGTCAAAATCAATCTCAACCAAAGAAACCAAGGTGAAATAAGATCCTGAGCTCTGGTTGAAGAAGAGTAATTTTGGATTAGACCAAGGCCTATAGCGCGCTTTGCTCATGGTCCATCCCTGGAGCCCATTCTTGGCTCCAGTATCTCTGCCTTCAAGCTGGGATTGGATGACAGAATCCATTCCACACCTGCCAGTCTGTTCTGGATTTTGGGTGGACTGAAATCAGCTTGCTTCAAGAGCTTCCAAAACTTTTGGATGTGAAACCCAATGGCTCTATTTACACCTAGCTGCAATGTGCAGGAGTTCCCATGTTACAATTAAAAACCTGGTTGGCATGCTACGGAGTTCAGTGGGTAAGATAAACAACCATTTGGGAGAAGTGGAAACAAGAGAAGTTGAAGCTGGCACAGGAGGAAGAAAGAGGTGATTCCGATATAAGGGAGTCTACAGGCTGTTAATAGGGCTCTGAGTGAAAACTCTCGTATCTGGATGGGTGTTCTCATGAAACAACATCAAAATTACTGAGGTGCCAAAGAGGCAAGAACATGGAAGCCCCACAGCTTTCATGGACTCTCTTTATTGCATATTATTTTGGATTTATCTCCTGATTATGAATTAGATGTCAGAAGGGCTTATAGATTTACTGTCCCATCACCACAGGAAGGAGGCCACCCTTCCGGACCAGCCATATCATATTTTGCAGCCTGAGGCAAAGGACAAGTTTTACACACACACACACACACACTCCACTGCCAGAAGAATTGGCCATTGAATCATACATCAACATTGGTAAAGGGAAGGCATCCTTAATTGTACCTGAGACAGCAGGTTAGTTCAGAAGGCCAGGAGAGACTGTGGCAACAGAGGAGAATCTCTGGGAGTTTTTGGGGAACAGGACTAGGGGCAGCTGCTGTTGCTGTCCCTGAAATCTGCTGCCTGAAGTGGTTACCTCACACTGCCTACTGGGAAGGTCATTCCTATTGCCCTCATACATTTGGTTTTAAAGTTCTCCAGTTCCTGACAAAGGAGGACATTTCAAACATACAAGAGAGAAGATGTATTTGAGTGGGCGCAAGATACTAATTCACAAATTATGATAGTCCCTGATTATGAAAAGAGGTTGTTAAGAGTCAGCAAGCCTTTTCAGGAGCATGCCAGGTGTCAAGAGACGGAAACATAGAATTGGATATTCAAACCCAGTAATCTTTTGTCTTCAACTGGTGGGGTATGTGAGGACCTTCCATGATGTTGCCTCAGCTGAGGATTTCCACATCATGACCATCTCCAGCTGAAGTGTGAGCCAACGTTACGCCATGTTAATTTCCTTCAAACATATGGCTGGATGTTATTTCACTTGGAACTATTTACCTCATGAGAAATTTAATGTGGCTCCTCTTTAAGGAAATTGCAACTACTAATTATGGAAGGAGGTTTCATTTTATTAATGAGCTTTCCTCTTGGCTGCTTCTCTTCAGTGGCAACTCTACCTGCTCAACACCTCTGTCTCCTGCCTGGGCTGAATTAGAAACCTTTTACGTTACCCCATTACAGGGCTAGTCGTCACTTGTATCCACCTTTCTAGGCCTCCCTACTTTCTGCTGTTTATGCTACTTGGATTACCTAGTCTGCCAAGGCTTGCACAAAAAGGAGTTATCAGATAGATTTATCCTACTTCTATGAGGGGTGAGAGGAAGAGAGAATTGGAACATCCCACTCAACGTGAGCTGTGACCTTATTGACTGTCACGTAGGCTCCACTGCAAATTGTCATCTCCAACCCCCAAGAGTTGGTGATGTAAGGCAGAAATCACATTCTTTATCCGCATGATAGAGAGCTACCCAGTTTAATCCCCTTTCGGGATGATGTTTCGGTAATTATTATTTTAGTCCTGGAAACCTGACTACCGTATATTTTGAAGATGTAAATGTTTTGCTGAATTACATCCTGGCCTTTTGGAATTCATCTCTGGGCCGTGAACTGTGGTTCACATATGCCTGAGGGAGACTGAAATGCGTTGTGCTTCAGCACTGGAAAGAGAATTCACAGAATTTCCTATAACAATGGATCAACGATTTTCACTTGATGTCCTTATTTGAGCTGGCAATTTATCAACAAGAGCACAAAGAAGAGAAACGTAACAATTTTTGGTTTGCTTTATATATACAATTTTATATCATCAAAACATCTGAATCCTTGTCCGCCCTCCCATTTTGACTTTCCCTTTCTTATTTTTAACTTGTATGCTACTTTAATTGTATTGTTGAAAAAACAATAAAATCGCATAAAACAACAATTAATACGCACATGGGAGTCCACTCCGGAGCAGGAACTGGCAATCTTGCAGACAAAATAATTCACAGTGACACAAAATAACCATCCCTTGACCTACATGATTGATGATTGTGGTGAGAGCTGTTGTTTTCAGGTGTGCATCAAAGTGAATGATTCCAGGAGCCTCCTCTTTCTTGTTATGGTTGCTGTTGCCAGCACACTTTTTGTTCAAGGCTGCACCATTCATAAGTCAGAGTGATGAAGTAGTGCCTTTGAACATCTAAATCCCCTGGATCAAATGCAACATTTATGACCAAGACCTAAGCCAAAACAGCATGGCTTTGCTTTGTGGAGCTGCTGAATGGTGTGTTTTAATAAACTACAAAAGAAAGCGATCTGACTTCCAAAGGTTATGGCTTGTGTCATAACAAGAAATTTTCACAACTACCTGAAGTCAGGTAGTGGTCTGTGGTCTTTCATAAGTGAGGAGTAATTCAGAACAATATACTGTAGCGAAGCTTTTTGCTGCTGCTTCTGTTGACACTGCAGAGGCAAAATCTTTTTCTTCCCCCTCCAGTGGGTCATTGTGCATGTTCTTCCAGCTAATATTCTTATTACTCTTGTATGTTTTCTTTCAATTCTGTCATTGTCTTTTCCAGTAGTAGATAGGAGCTTTTAAAACAGAAAGGACCATATCATCTGTTACTTGTTCTTAAAAGGAGCATGTTACAGGATATAATGCAAGGAACCATTTTCACAAAAAGCCAAGGGTCTAATGCCTATTGATGGAGTGCTGCTCATTAGATTTGCTTTATTGGCACTATTTCAACATGAGTTGCCCATAGTGGCATTGTGCTTTTCAAATAACTGTGTCCTGAAATGCAGCAGTCCTTGCTCCCAAGGACCCAGTGCAAAACGGTGTCACCTCAATGCCAATGTGGGGTTGCCCTGTAACTTCTGCTTTAATAGAATCCTACTTACAATGCAGAAATGAAAGTCATCTTCTGTGATTCACCTGAAAGCCTCCTGAAATATGCATGGCACCTCAACATTCCTTTCTTTTAACGGAATTTATGCAGAAACTGGACAGCTTGTATTATACACTTCCACATATTTTATGAGCCCCAGGGGGATTAGCATCTTCAAAGTCACCATATAAATGAAACTTCTCTTATTTCAGCACAACTGCATTCAGAGCAAATGGTTAGCAACTGTGGCCTAGGTTGCATAGATGCTTTAGTTGAGATTTCTGCATTGCAGGGGGTTGGACTAGATGACCCTTGGGGTCCCTACTGACTCTACAATTCTATGGTTCTATGTTCCCTCCTTTGTAAATCTTTCCCATAAGTAGTGCTGGAAAAGCTCCTAGAACTCCGTGCAATCCATGTGGAGTGAGGATGACAGATGGAAGTCTGCTGTACACACAAGTGATGCAAGCCAGCCCTTCACTCTCTCGATGATCCAACTTTGTAGGGCCTTGTGAGAAATTCTGAATGTAGTAACATGTCTAAAGGGGATTATTATCAAAAAGTGCAGCTGAGAAGTCTTTTGATTTTGGCAAGAGTATTATAACAATAAAGGTCATTTGAGAAGGAATGCAAACAGGCAGATGGTGAGCTCAGTGCCTTATGAATTTTCCTGTATAGTGATGTCATGGGTTTGCATGATTTCCCACACAGATCTGGACCTGGCAGTAACAATCTGGCCTTTCTTTAATCTCAGGATATCATTGGATAATGTGAGATGCAAAGAGCCGTCTCATCACTCACCTCGATGTGAAGGACATTCTGAAAAAAATGCATTTAAGTAACTCTATTTGGGCAGGTAACTAAGAAGGCTGTGGGGTCAAGAAGAAGGCACACACAACTGAAACAAAAGTTGAAATTATTCCTCATGAGAACAAGCGCACAGAACTCATGCCAGGCTGAGCCAAAGAATAAATTAAGGGCAATCATGCAGTAAAGGCAGCAGAATGGATGAACTGGGTGCTTCTCAGCAAGGAAGACAGATGTTTGGAACAGCTCCTGCCACAAATTTGGAATCTCTGAAATCATCTCAATAATAAATTGCAGAGCATTAAACTCTGTCCATAGATTTGTTTGTGCATTTTCTCACTGTCTCGAGGGAGAGTTGCACACATGCATCCAAGAACAGAATTTAACCCAACCAGTGATTTCTTTCTATTTAAAGTTAAAGTGCTAAGAAAGCACTACAGCTGGTGCCAGAAAACTTTGAGGAAAAAACTAACCTTTTAGCCAGTTGCGATGGAAAAGTCAATGCTGTCGTCATCACACAATGGGCACAGTGAATAGAGATGATGAAGTCCAAATCCCAACTTATCAATGAACTGCCTGGCTAGCTTTGGGGAGATTGCAATCACTCAGTGTAAGTTAGTGGTTCTCAAAAGGTGTGTCATGCCACCATGGTGTGGCAGGAGAGCATGGCAAGGAAGGCAGGAAGATTCAAGGACAATCAAAGAAACATTTAAACATTTCCATGTGGTATAGTATAGTAACCATAAATATAGATATAGATTAGATATACAAACAAAAACAGTATCTACATCTCTCTTCAAGGCTATTAGCTACATTTCTCCACAACATATTGTTGTGAACAATATGTTGTTTCTTCAGCTCTGACAAATATGAAAAATATGAGATTACCTGGCAAAAGCCAGTTCACACCTCATTGAGGTTGTAGACCTGCCTCCTTAAGGTACAAATAATGGGTGGTGCGCTAGGGGAATTAGTGGGGATGGGGATAGCTTGCCTATTTCTGCTTTCCATGCCTTGAGCATGGTCTGTGTGTACCTGTTAAGTGTTGTGGGTATGCTGTGGTGCAGGTATTTTCAATTGTGTCCCTCTCTAGGTGTATCCATTGTTTTGTCTCATCTTCTAGTATGTATGGGATTATATGGCGTACTTGGTTGTTCTATGTTGGGGATTCCCCATCCTCCTTCTGAGGAGGGGAGGTGCAGGTATTTGGGGCTTATTCTTGGTTTTTTATTTGAGAAGATAAAAGAGTGTAGTTTTCTCTGCCATTTGCAGAGTTGGGTTGGGGGAATCCAGATTGGGAGGGTTTGGAATAGATAGGTTAGTTTTGGGAGGATGATCATTTTGATCATGGCTATTTTGTCTGAGAAAGTGAAGTTTATGTTGTTCCCTCTCTTTAGGTCTTTGTTAATTTGTCGCCACAGGGGCTTGTAGTTGTGGAGATATAATTTATTGAGGTTTCTGGTTATTTGTACCCCTAGGTATCTGAACTTGGTGTGGCAAAGTTTTATCTTGGTGGCGTTAGTGAGTTCTTTTTGGGTGTGAGGAGGGGTGTTGAAGCACATGGCTTCCGACTTGGCAAAATTTACCTGTAGGCCCGACACCACTGCAAATGTGTTGAGTTCTCTGATTAGGGAGGTTGCTGTGCTTATGGGGTTTGGTGCTGTACCATTAGGTCATCTGAGAAGAGCCCTAATTTATAGGTTCTGCCTTTTCAGTGTATTTCTTATCAATTTTTAAAAAGTGTGACCCAGAGAAAAAAGTTTGAGAACCTCTGGTGTCCGTGTAAGGATGTGCTAGTACTGAGAGGTTTGGCACAACCATGAAAAGAGATAGCTGAACTTTGCTCTTCTGCAATGGCTTCTCCACACGGGAGTGGCATGTTTCCATAGACATTCCCGTTGCTTGGAGAACAACTTGGTAGCAATGAGGGGAAATGGTTGCTATGAGCAATGGTGATAAATGTAGGAGTGGACTGTTCTCATAAAGTGAAGGACCTCATGGGCCTGTAGATATAGGTCTTTTATATCAGCAGGAATGAGTGAACAATCTGTGCTGTAATTAGCAGTGGTGCTATTTCTTCAATCTTATACTGTTAAGAACTTCTTTAGATTCTGAGAGAAGGAACAGATTGTCCAGGGTTGCCCAGGTTTCGGTTATAAATGTACCTAAAATGGATTCTTCTTAGATTGCAAGCATTACGAACCAACCTGCTTCATTTATTTTCCTCAATATCTGCTATTAGAATCTTTTCCATTATTGAATTGTATTGATGTTACCATTAGTGTGGAGAGTCATCTATGACGAGCTATTACGCATTTAAAAGTTCTATCAATAAGGGTATTGATTTGGGCTAATGGCTCGTTTTTAAGCTTCTGTTGGAATATTTTTCATATCCTTATGTGTATAATAGCTATATTAGATTCTTACTTTAATGGCTTTAAAATCTCTTTGCTCTTAAGCATACAATCCCTCTGAAACAAGGCAATATATATTGCTATTTGGTTCTTGTTTTTGGAGAACTATAGACGGAATGCCAGAGGGGTTCATTACATACAGGAGATCATTTCATTATATTTAGTCCATTAATTGGGGTAACTGAAGCTACTAAATCCCAAATGTTAAAATGGCAGCCAGTGATTCTCAGTGGGGAGATAGGACAATCACGTCTAAAGGGGGAGGGACCTATCATTTTTGTTATTATAGGCTCAATAAAGGCTTACAGGTGGGTTGGTTTGTATGTTACTTTTATATCTCACCTTTCCTCTAAGACAAGTGTTCCCAAACTGTGGTCTGTGGACTACGAGTTGTCTGCAAGCTTCATTAAGGTGTCTGTGATGTGTCAAGTAAAAATCATACAACAGCTAGCACAGTACATTAGAAGTGTTACAGCAGGAAGAAAAATTATGAAGTGGTCTGCCAAAATGCTCAGCAGTTTTCAAGGGGCCCATGGTGGGGTGAGGAGTTTGAGAACTACAGCTCTGAAGCACTCAAGGTAGCTACATGGTTTTCTTTGCATCATTTTTATACTCACAACAACAGTGTGATGTCCCAAGGTCATCCACATGGCTGACCATAAAGCTGAGCCCAGGCCCCTCCCTCAGTGATGCCTTGATGCTTCCATACTCTTAGATGGCTCAAGAGTTCACAGCACCCAAGGCAGATTGTCCTTTGCTACCTCTCAACAATACTCCACCTGGAAATGAGACCATCTGGCAGTGTGCTCTAAGAATCTGTGGAATGTGAGGGGGGAAATCACACATAAACAATGAGTTTCCAGCACAGTGGAGGATCCAGAACATTTCTCTGTCACCTGCTGGGATTTTATCAAGGTCTTATTGCTTCAGACCTTGATGCTCAATATTCACTTTCTACATCAGCCCAGGAAATATGGATGTCTTCATTTATTTATTTTCCCCAATAATTTTTATTGTTTTTCATTCAAATACAAGAGCAACATATAACTACAAGAATTTGCCCAGTGGTACATTCTTATTAGGTTTCATATGCTGTACGTAGTACACAAGCAATATGTTTATTTCTTTATTATCCTTTCAAGTAGCCTCTCCACAAAGATTCTTGTGTTGAGGGTGGAATAAAAGTATCTCCCATCTCATTTATAAAGGAAAAGAAAGGGAGCCAAGACTCTATCCAAAGTCGAAACAAAATAAAAAAAATTCCTTACAGTGGCACCTTAGAGACCAACTAAGTTTGTTATTGGTATGAGCTCTCGTGTGCATTCAGGTATCTGAAGAAATGTGTATGCACATGAAAGCTCATACCATTAACAAACTTAGTTGGTCTCTAAGGTGCTACTGGACCTTATTTTGTTTCGACTACGGCAGACCAACACGGCTACCTACCTGCAACTAGATCTATCCAAAGTGTCTGTCCTTGAAGTGCCTTTAATTACCGTGTTCCAATAGAGCCACATTCCAAATACTATTTAACCAGACTTCAATGGGGAGATATATAGATTGTATCCAATATTGAGCTATTGTTAATTGGGCTGCTGATAACAGAAAAAATACTAAATTTCTGCATTTGAGGTTTTTGTTAGGGTCTAATCACAACAAGTCAAGAGCACAAGTGCATGGGAGGGGTTGCTACATGATTTTGGTAATAAAGTGAAACACATTTCCCCAAAGGTGTATACCATCAGTGAACGTATCAATTTTGTGCTTAGTATTTCTGATTTCCGCACCAATATCTGCATCCACCCATGAGTGAAAGGCAAGCACCTCTATCTCCATCGCAGAAAGTAGCAGCCCCAGGGCAAGCCTGGGCGAGTGCCCTGTTGAGGCAGAGGAGTTGGTGTCAGGCCCATTTACTGTAAAAAATGGTGTTAGACTGTAAGTAAATTAGATTAATCATATTCAGGAATTGCTTACCAAATGGTAATTTAGATAATAAAGATTTTTAAAGGGCCATTGAATTCTGTCAAGACCTTGAAGGCATCAAGGGGAATTAAAACACCAAAGGAGTTTTGTGTGTAGAAACCATGAATCACATGAAACGATCTTCTCATGGAATCCACAATATTCCTAGATGGAATGAAACTGGTTTGGTCCGTTGAAATATATTGACCAGTGAAAATATTAATCCTTTTGATCATTACTGCTGTGAAAAGCTTTGCATCAACATTAGCAAGAGAAATAGGTCCATATGAGTCCACCTTTGTTGCGTCTTTCTCCTCATTTCAGCAATAAGGGTCAATTTTGAGGTTTGCCAATTTAGAAGTTTATCACTGGTGCACCATTTTTAGTGCTAAGCAGAAAGTTTCCATATGAGGACTTTTCTCTCCATTTTTTGGTGGGGGAACCAACTTGCAAATTTCAAGGGTTGAAATTAGTCCCATGTTCCATTAATGATGGCTTCTTGATTGGCAGTGGCTGCTTTTCCTTTTTTAAAACAACAACAACAACTTTGAGTTTTAAAGTGGTAGAGCTCTTTGGTGGCCTTTTCCCCCTTTTGTGGGGGCAAACCTGGGATCATCTGAAGGCAGCTACAAGGGATGAGATTCGGATATATAGATTTATAGGTAATATATATACTGCTACCCCAATAGCCCTTAGTCCCCAAATCTGCAAATAATCCCCGCTGCAAACACACCACAAAACCTTCACTGGTGAGGATTTTCACTCAGCCCAAAATTAAATCCCAAGGCTGAGTTTGCATGTGGCATGGAAGTAGAATTGTAGTTCAGCTTTCATAAATGTTTTACTCCTGCAAAATCAGAGGGTATCTTCTTCTTCTTTGGCAATCATTCGTAGCCGAGGAAAATTGTCTTCCATGAACGTGGTCTTAACAGTGAGTCTGTAAGTGACTGTGGAGGCCAATTTTGGATCCACACGTCCTTCTGCATTGGGGCCATAGGTTTCCAGGTGGGAGTTGATCCTGGTAATGGTTTGCCAAGTGTGCCTTCCTCTTAACACATTTCTCCCTTTCATCCTGAGTTTGAGGGTCTTCAAAGCTCATGACGCCTTTGATAAAGGCTGTTCTCCAGCTGGAGCGCTCATAAGCCAGTGTTTCCCAATTGTCAGTGTTTATTCTGCATTTTTTTAGATTTGCCTTGAGAGATCATATAGTGTCAAATAGTGTCAGAAACTCCTCTTCGGAAAGTCAACTGATCTTTGAGAGATTGCTCCTGCAAGGGTCAGAGGGGACTTTTTCTCTCAGCTTGAAATTTCTGCAAATAGATATGGAGGGGTTGCTGTTGTTGTGTCATGGCCCAAGCAGGTCCCCAGGGCAAGCTCACCCATGAGACAGAGTGATCAGCTGCCTCAGACGGTGGAAACACAAGAGGTGGCACACCTGTGGGTGCCCTGCTCTACCGCTACCAGAGAAGCAACTCAGGTAAGAGAGGCAGAGGCAGCAGCAAGGAGGGGGCCTTATACTGCCCAGTTTTGCCATCAGAAAGGAAGGGAGATTTGGGAAGTTCAAATGCTGACTGCAACATTATGATGCTACAGCCCTCTGCTGCCAAGCAAGTTGCCAAAGCTTTGCAAGGGCTTTTTTTCCTTAAGAAGAAGCCCTTGCAAAGCCTCACCACTGGGCAGGAGGGAGATACCCTTGCGTAATTTGCGCCCCCCCCCCCAAAGCTTTGCAAGGGTTTTTTCTTGCACTTCATGCCCACCCACCTCCCAATCACAGGAGTGGCAGGGGGACGTTTCATTTCCTGTGCCAAAATGTCTAGGGCTGTCCCTGCACGTCCCCTTAAAAGGGGGCTCAGGCACCTGGGAGGCAGCAAGGAGCAACAGCTGCCTTCTTGGAGCAGCCAAGGAGTGTTTGAGCGTCTGAGATCAATGTTCCACCCGGCATTCCTAAGTTACCACCAAAAGTTGCCTAAAGCAAAATTCACAGCAAATGTAGAGGCTCCTGGAAAACAACTGGACAAAATTTGAGGAAAGTGAAGAGTTTGTGTATTTTATGCACCACATAAAGTACATTAAAATATATGTACCATGTTCCAAGAAGGTTTCATTGGATTTATCTCATTTTCACACCCATAACAGCCCAAGACTGAGGTGGGTTTGACTGACAGATAATGACTGGCCTATTGTGTTTTAAACAGAACTAGATCCTTTCTGATCTGACAAGCAGGTGCCATTGTACCTTTTAGAGTTACATTGCATATCCCTTTCAGCACATTTCTTCATAAAATGAAACTGGATCTTGAAGCGGAAGTTGAAAGTTGTGGGCCCAAAGCAGATGGGTTTCTTATGTTTGTTGCTATAAAGAGAAATATCAAGACAAATATACCTAATTGGTGGCTGGGTGAGTGAGTTCAAGAGGTACCAAAGCTGTTTTCTTCTCTCAGGGGAAATGGGCTGTATTTAGTTTATTGCTTTTGGAGGGGTGTCATCCGGATATGGCCATTATAGTGAAATGAACTAACAGTGCAATCACGTGCATATTTGCTTACGTTGGGAGTAAGACCCATTGAACATTGTGAGCCTTACTTTTGAGTAAACATTCATAGCATTGCACCATAAATTTGTGATCCTATTTGTGCTCACTGGAGAGCAATCCTATTGAACTCAGTGGGAGTTCCTTCTAAGTAAACACTTCAAAGTTGGACTGGGCTGCATAGCACACAAAATTGAGATCTATGAGGATGTGAGATTGGCATATCAGTCATAAACATTTGCCACACACATCTTCTGTGCAGCCGTGTCCTAGCTGAAACAGCAATATAATATCATATTTACGTTTTGGGCTTTTATTTTGGTGGTGTTGGCATGGCTGGTGTCCTACCCCATCACATGCCTATTTGCCAGTGTGCAAAGAACCTTTTTGATAACTGCCTGATCCCATGCAAAGACATCATCACCATCTGATCAAGGTGGCCCATGGATTAATCTCACTCTCAGAAACAGGCTTAACAGAAAGACGCAAGGTATGTTCTGTGTCAGTAATTTCAATTCTCAGTACAATGCTGCCTGAGAGGACATTGCTTCCACACTATGGGTCCAGTTCCCAAATACCTTTTGGGGCACATTGATTTCTGGGAGAGATCTAACATTCAAGTTCCAGAATGGTCTGAGGACATTGGTAGGTCTTGGAGCCTGCGACATGCTGTATAAACAATGTTGTCATTTACCTCATGCCATAGTCCAGTGGGAAGTTCTTTCACAAGCCTCCCTGAAGGCAATGGGGGCTTTCCTTGTAGTGAGTGTGGTTTGCCAGATCTGTTTTAGGGAGGTCACAGCTATTACACGGTTTAAATATGTGTTGTCATTGCTGTATACCACCCTGTTCTTATAGGAGCTGGTGTATAAATAAAGTACCTCTAGAAATAAAGAAATAGCATTGACCACAGTAATCTCTTGGGCCTTCTGCATGATTTGGGTGTTCGGGGCCTTGTTTTAGGGAGGTTTCCCTCCCACTTATAGGGTCGGTTCCTGCCCTCTAGCAGTTGATCTGTGCATCGCTAGAGGACATGATTTAGTTTTCTAAATGCTGTTTAATAGCTACATGAAGCCACTGGAGGCAGTCAGAAGATTTGGGGCAGGGTGTAATCAGTATGCCAATGATATTTCACTCTGTTTCTCTATAAGTTCTGATTCGGGAGAGGCCTAGATGCAATCATGAACTTGTTGTTGTTGTCGTTTAGTCGTGTCCGACTCTTCGTGACCCCATGGACCAGAGTACGCCAGGCACTCCTGTCTTCCACTGCCTCCCACAGTTTGGTCAAACTCATGTTCGTAGCTTTGAGAACACTGTCCAACCACCTCGTCCTCTGTCGTCCCCTTCTCCTTGTGCCCTCCATCTTTCCCAACATCAGGGTCTTTTCCAGGGAGTCTTCTCTTCTCATGAGGTGGCCAAAGTATTGGAGCCTCAGCTTCAGGATCTGTCCTTCCAGTGACCACTCAGGGCTGATTTCCTTCAGAATGGATAGGTTTGATTTTCTTGCAGTCCATGGGACTCTCAAGAGTCTCCTCCAGCACCATAATTCAAAAGCATCAATTATTCAGCGATCAGCCTTCTTTATGATCCAGCTCTCACTTCCATACATCACTACTGGGAAAACCATAGCTTTAACTATACGGGCCTTTGTTGGCAAGGTGATGTATCTGCTTTTTAAGATGCTGTCTCGGTTTGTCATCACTTTTCTCCCAAGAAGTAGGCGTCTTTTAATTTCGTGACTGCTGTCACCATCTGCAGTGATCATGAAGCCCAAGAAAGTAAAATCTCTCACTGTCTCACTTTCTCCATTTCTTCCCCTTCTATTTGCCAGGAGGTGATGGGACCAGTGGCCATGATCTTTGTTTTTTGGATGTTGAGCTTCAGACCATATTTTGCGCTCTCCTCTTTCACCCTCATTAAAAGGTTCTTTAATTCCTTCTCACTTTCTGCCATCAAGGTTCTGTCATCTGCATATCTGAGGTTGTTGATATTTCTTCTGGCAATCTTAATTCCGGCTTGGGATTCATCCAGCCCAGCCTTTCGCATGATGAATTCTGCATATAAGTTAAATAAGCAGGGAGACAATATACAGCCTTGTCGTATTCCTTTCCCAATTTTGAACCAATCAGTTGTTCCATATCCTGTTCTAACTGTAGCTTCTTGTCCCACATAGAGATTTCTCAGGAGACAGATGAGGTGATCAGGCACTCCCATTTCTTTAAGAACTTGCCATAGTTTGCTGTGGTCGACACAGTCAAAGGCTTTTGCATAGTCAATGAAGCAGAAGTAGATGTCTTTCTGGAACTCTCTAGCTTTCTCCATAATCCAGCGCATGTTTGCAATTTGGTCTCTGGCTTCTCTGCCCCTTCGAAATCCATCTTGCACTTCTGGGAGTTCTCAGTCCACATACTGCTTAAGCCTGCCTTGTAGAATTTTAAGCATAACCTTGCTAGCGTGTGAAATGAGTGAAATTGTGCGGTAGTTGGAGCATTCTTTGGCACTGCCCTTCTTTGGGATTGGGATGTAGATTGATCTTCTCCAATCCTCTGGCCACTGCTGAGTTTTCCAAACTTGCTGGCATATTGAGTGTAGCACCTTAACAGCATCATCTTTTAAAATTTTAAATAGTTCAGCTGGAATATCATCACTTCCACTGGCCTTGTTATTAGCAGTGCTTTCTAAGGCCCATTTGACTTCACTCTCCAGGATGTCTGGCTCAAGGTCAGCAACCACACTACCTGGGGTGTACGAGCCATCCATATCTTTCTGGTATAATTCCTCTGTGTATTCTTGCCACCTCTTCTTGATGTCTTCTGCTTCTGTAAGGTCCTTACCACTTTTGTCCTTTATCATGGTAATCTTTGTGCGAAATGTTCCTTTCATATCTCCAATTTTCTTGAACAGATCTCTGGTTCTTCCCATTCTATTCTCTTCCTCTATTTCATGAACTTGGTGAGCCCAGAATAACTAAGGAGATAGTACAAGAATACTTGGCTAGTTTAGATGTATTCAAGTCTCCAGGGCCAGATGAACTGCATCCAAGAGTATTAAAAGAACTGGCAGATGTGATCTCAGAACCACTGGCAGTCATCTTCGAGAATTCCTGGAGAACAGGCGAAGTCCCGGCAGACTGGAGGAGGGCAAATGTTGTCCCTATTTTCAAAAAGGGGGAAAGAGAGGACCCAAATAATTACCGCCCAGTCAGTCTGACATCAATACCAGGGAAGATTCTGGAGCAGATCATTAAGCAAACAGTCTGTGAGCACCTAGAAAGGAATGCTGTGATCACCAATAGTCAGCATGGATTTCTGAAAAATAAGTCATGTCAAACTAACCTGATCTCGTTTTTTGACAGAATTACAAGCCTGGTAGATGAAGGGAACGCAGTGGATGTAGCCTACCTTGATTTCAGCAAGGCATTTGACAAGGTGCCCCATGATATTCTTGTAAAGAAGCTGGTAAAATGCGGTCTTGACTATGCTACCACTCAGTGGATTTGTAACTGGCTGACTGACCGAAGCCAAAGGGTGTTCATCAATGGTTCCTCTTCATCCTGGAGAAGAGTGACTAGTGGGGTGCCACAGGGTTCTGTCTTGGGCCCGGTCTTATTCAACATCTTTATCAACGACTTGGATGATGGACTCAAGGGCATCCTGATCAAATTTGCAGATGACACCAAACTGGGAGGGTGGCTAACACCCCAGAGGACAGGATCACACTTCAAAATGACCTTGACAGATTAGAGAACTGGGCCAAAACAAACAAGATGAATTTTAACAGGGAGAAATGTAAAGTATTGCACTTGGGGAAAAAAAATGAGAGGCACAAATACACCTGGCTTGAGAGCAGTACATGTGAAAAGGATCTAGGAGTCTTGGTTGACCACAAACTTGACATGAGTCAACAGTGTGACGCGGCAGCTAAAAAAGCCAATGCAATTCTGGGCTGCGTCAATAGGAGTATAGCATCTAGATCAAGGGAAGTAATAGTGCCACTGTATTCTGCTCTGGTCAGACCTCACCTGGAGTACTGTGTCCAGTTCTGGGCACCACAGTTCAAGAAGGACACTGACAAACTGGAACGTGTCCAGAGGAGGGCAACCAAAATGGTCAAAGGCCTGGAAAAGATGCCTTATGAGGAACGGCTAAGGGAGCTGGGCATGTTTAGCCTGGAGAAGAGGAGGTTAAGGGGTGATATGATAGCCATGTTCAAATATATAAAAGGATGTCACATAGAGGAGGGAGAAAGGTTGTTTTCTGCTGCTCCAGAGAAGCGGACAAGGAGCAATGGATCCAAACTACAAGAAAGAAGATTCCACCTAAACATTAGGAAGAACTTCCTGACAGTAAGAGCTGTTCAACAGTGGAATTGGCTGCCAAGGAGTGTGGTGGAGTCTCCTTCTTTGGAGGTCTTTAAGCAGAGGCTTGACAACCATATGTCAGGAGTGCTCTGATGGTGTTTCCTGCTTGGCAGGGGGTTGGACTCGATGGCCCTTGGGGTCTCTTCCAACTCTATGATTCTATGATTGAATTCTGACGAGATGCAAAGCCTAGAGATGGGGGCTCCACAGGTTCAGGAACTGGAATGTAGCAGGAATGGATGGGGCTACACCCCCTGGGGCCAGTATAGTTGGGAGGGGATCTCTCCAGCATGAAGGATGGGAAGTGCCTATAAATGTTCAGATACTTCGGTTAGTCATCTTACTCCAAACCATAGCTGTCAACGTTTCCCTTTTTTTAAGGGAAATTCCCTTATTCCGAATAGGATTCCTTGCAAGAAAAGGGAAAAGTTGACAGCTATGCTCCAAACACTGAATTGGACAGAAAACCCAATAGAATCCTAACCTAGTGCCAAAAAATAGCACATTACTTTTGCAGATCGATGTTTGTTCCCTGTCTTCCAAGCAAGCTAGAGCCCATATTATTCTAAGCACCCTTTAAATTTAATAAAAAAATGACAGTGCATGGTTGTTTACAAAGATCTAATTAGCACATTTACCTAAACAGGCTCTCATGCTTTAAAATATTAAAATTAAAATGCAAATTGTAATGCTTGCATGCAAATTAAGAGGAAATAATTTCTACTTAACTGCCTGGAGGCACTTGTAACCTCCTTCCAACTATCTTTCACCCTCCCCCTTTGGCTTGGCTGAAAAACATATTGAATAAAGATGACATTACTGTCAAACAAGCTCCCTGTTTACTGATGAGGCATATTCCACTCCTGCGTACATATTTCATCATCAAAGCATGAGATAATTAAGACATTTTAATAGGTGAAGAGCATCTGCTTATGAGTCTGCAGAGAAATCTCTGCCACACAGACTGCAAAGTTTCTCTTCTCTCACCACCCGGCACTCGGTGATTTGCCAGGTTTCCAGCAATGCCACGGTTGGGCAACGGATGCTCCGTTGGGCTTGAGCAGCAGTTGTACAGCATATGCAGCGGTGACACAGGCATGCCTAAGGGTGGTGGGATAAGAGAAACCCAAACCACGCACAGCATCTCACCAAGACCCAGCACCAGTCTTGTTCCTCAGGCCACTCACAGGATCCAGAAGCCCATCCTAAGGACCTAAGAATGGCCTGCTGGATCAGGCCAATGGCCTCTTCCCACCATGGCCAGCTGATGCCTGTGGGAAACAGCAAGCAGAACAGGAGCACAAGAGAACTCTCCTGTGGTTTGCAGAAGAGAGATAGGAAAACCTTCTGCAGGCCACACATAATTGTATAAACTTCCTTCCTGTTGCCTCCTACTTCCATTTTCTCTAAATTGCTCTAAATGCTGCAACCTGTCTTCATAGAGGAGCCACTGCATCCCCTCGACCATTTTCGTTTCCTTTTTCTGAACCTTTTCCAACTCTACAACATCCTTTTTGAGGTGAGATGACCAGAACTGTGTTCTCTGCCACTGTCCCTTCAACAGGGCCTCCACCAGTATCATAGAATTGTAGAGTTGTAAGGGAATGGAAGGTCATCTCGTCCAACCCCCTGCAATGCAGGTATTTCAGCTAGAGCATCCAGGACAGGAAACTATCCATCCTCTGCTTAAAAACCTCCAAGGAAGGAAAGTCCAACATCTCCCACAGGAGTCTATTTCACTGACGAAAAGCTCTTACCATCAAAAAACTCTTCCTGATGTTTAGTTGGAAACTCCTTTCTTAACTTGAAGTCATTGGTTCCAGTCCTACCCCGCAGAGCAGAAGAAAAGAAGCTTGTTCTCTCTTCCATGTGATAACCCTTGAGATATTTGAAGATGGCTCTCATATCTCCTCTCAGTCACCTCTTTTCTAGGATAAACATACCCAACTCCCTCTGACCAAGGCAGAATAGAGCCTTACTATAACTTCCCTTGATCAGGACAATATACTTCTGTTGATGCAGCCTAGAATGGCATTAGGGTTTTTTGCGGCTGCATCACTCTGTTGACTCATGTTAAGCTTGTGGTCTACTAAGACCCCTACATCCTTTTCACATGTACTACTAGCAAGCCAGGTGTCCCCCACCTTATATTTGTGCAGGTAGCTATTCCTTCCCAAATGTAGAACCTAACATTTGTCCCTACTGAAATTCATTTTGTTATTTTGGACACAGTTCTCTATTCTGTTAAAGTTCTATCTTCAGTAGCATTGGATACTCCTCCCAGTCTGGTGTCATCTGCAAATTGGACGAGTATACTAAACAGTTATCACCTGATACCTCGTGAAGCACTAGATGAGTTTGCTTCATCTGCTGTTTGCTCGTTCTGCTTGTCCCTTAGTACATCCAAGCAGTGCGTGACATTGATGAGAAGGGTTGGAAGAACCAGAGGCAAACCCATTCTTCTCACATGATATTACTTAGCATTTTAAAGTAATTTATATTTTATGTTGATATAATGATGCCGAAAGCATGTAAAAGTGCAAGCAGATAAATAGGTACCGCTCTGGCGGGAAGGTAAACGGCGTTTCCATGCGCTGCTCTGGTTCGCCAGAAGCGGCTTTGTCATGCTGGCCACATGACCCAGAAGCTGTACGCCGGCTCCCTCGGCCAATAAAGCGAGATGAGTGCCGCAACCCCAGAGTCGTCCGTGACTGGACCTTACGGTCAGGGGTACCTTTACCTTTAATGATGCCGAATCCAGATACGGAGTTGGGCTTCAAAGGCACCAGCTAAGGAGCCAGATCAAGTGCAGGACTCTGAGGTGGCTGTTGGAGATCAGGAGACCACTGTGTGTGACACTGTTGGACAGGAACCCCCCAGAAGAACCTCCTGGACCACCACAGGCTTTACCCTCATGGGCACCTTCCCCTGAGGAACCCACGGCACATTATGTCAGCAGTACAGGGAGGAGATTGGCCCTTTAAAGCTCTGAAGTTCTCCACAAAGGAGTGGAAGAGGTAGTTTGAAGACAGGGGCTTACAAGGCCTCCGCCTGCTCCAAACCTTCAGTGGAGTTAAGTTGCTCACTTGGAGCTGTCCATGGGTGTGCAACTTGTAACCAATGCAGTCTTACCTCTTTCTCTGTGGGATCCAGCATTGGATCAGAACATGACAGTTGAGCAACCATTTGGTTTTTCTACCCACTATATTGCCAAGCTGTAAGGGCCCTCCCCATAGTATAAAGCATGTTAAAATGCTTTTGAAACAAGTTTTAAAACAACCCTTTTGATTTTAGCAGCTAGGAGACAAATGATCCTTTAAAGATATTAAGCTGTGGAACTGGCATAAATAACCTAGCTCCAAACTTGCTTCATGTTTGTTCTGTGTGATCTGGGTCCCACCTGTGGGCTTGCTGTCTAATTGCCTCACTTGTTTGGCCTTAGGCTGAAGTACACCAGGGCTCATTATTTTAATTGGTCATTAAAAAAAAATCTTCTTCACAGTTGCCAGTAACAGTTTATTTGTTTATTAGTATCATAAATTTTAACCTCTTCAAAGTACAGCATTATGCTAGAAGTAATGATCTGTGGCATTCTGAATATCATTTGCATCTTCATCCAAGGCCAGTCCTGGAACTCAGTCATGGGCCCTGATGATGTACACGGCTTGCTTGATACTTGCTTCTGTCATGAACATGACTGAAGGTTCATTCTTTTGCACAGTGTATATGCAGAGTTTATTCATGGGAATAGGTTATGTGTTGATTTGTTTATGTTGGCGGTGTGAAAAGTTGGAGAGGTTGGCAGTTCAAAGATCATTATCCCCACCCAACCTCACAATGCCTATTGCCTTACACCAAATGTAACTGACCTGTTGAAAGGACTCAGTGAATTGAAAGCAGAGGTGTTATATGTACCTTTGTTATCCATGAAAGTCTTTACTATTTAAAAAAACAAAGCATGACTGCAGTTTTAGGGTGGTCTGGTACGCACAACACAGCAAGCCAAACTATGGCTTACTGGGACCATACAATTGTGTGACCTCGTTGCCCCTCCCTGGTCTTTTTTGCTGCGCTAACTTAGCATGTCATCCAAATGGGGAACCATGGATATGTTCTCTCCTTGCTAACCATGAGCTGTAGCCAAGCTTTGCCTGGCCTCTGGCCTTCCAGATGCTGCTGGATGACAACTCTCACCACCCCTGATCATAAGCCAAGCTAGTTGGGGCTGATTAGAGGAGGAGTTTAACATCACCTAATGGGCCCCAGGTCCCCCACCCTTGCCTTGGCATGTGGAGGTTTTCAGATGTGATTTTAGAAATGGTAGTTTAAGCCCACCCTTTTCTATTGTCTCTTTATAGACTTGTGCAGGCAGAGAAGCATGGCAAGGAGGAATGGGCAGAGCGATGTAAACCACTAGGTTACGGTAAATATGGTCTCCACACCTTTAGCAGAAACCTAATAATCACCATGGTTAATACAGTGAGCTGCAAGTCCCTAGCACAAATCTCAGCCTAGTAAGGAACTCCATGGCTTTTGGCCAGCTGCTCTCTCTCATTCCAGGGGTGATAACAGGGATGGTGATATTATTATTATTATTATTATTATTATTATTATTATTATTATTATGTTTACCAGTTCTCAGGGTTGCTATATTACTGGGATAGTATATGTGTGCCAATCTGCAAATGTTATTAAACTTGAAGAGATTTTTACCCCTCATTCATTTTTTTTACATTTAAGACAGCTGTTGAAAGTCAAATCTTTACTTGGGAGAGAGTGTGGAGAGCATCCATACAAGACTGCAACCCTCTTGATTTCAAACAATCCAGATGGGTGGCCCCTGGCTCACACAAGGAACTAAGGAGTATACCTGATGTTTAATCGCCCTTTCGTTCATGTAGATACATGAGCCTAGATTATTGAAACAGTCAGTCAGGTTGTGTATCCATAGCAATGACCAGAGGAGAAATGACAGCCAGAATGAGCACAGAGAGAAGTGATGCCACGGTGCACCAGGGAAACGGATGCCTTCATCTGCACCACCTGCAATAAAACATGTCTTTTCCATTTTGGTCTCTACAGCCACAGCAGGTGCCATAACTCTCCAGCGGTTTGACCCTGATGATGTGCTCTCCCATTTTTGCTCAAGACAGACAATAGCAGCTTTACACATGGCAATATTACTTCCAGATGATGACTTGCCTCATCACCCCAGCCATAAAATGCAAAACAAGTAACAGAATCATATAATTGTAGAGTTGAAAGGGACCCCCAGGGTCATCCAGTCCAACCCCCTGCAATGCAGGAATCTCAACTAGACGGATGGCCATCCAACTTCTGCTTTCAAACCTCCAAGGAAGGAGAGTCCCGCGTGTCCCACAGGAGTCCCTTCCACTGTCCAACAGCTCTTGCTATCAAAAAGTTCTTCCTGGTGTTGAGCCGTATTCTCCTTTCTTGTAACTTGAAGCCATTGGTTCCAGTCCTACTCTCCAGTATCTTGTTCCCTCATCCATGTGACAACCCTTGAGATATTTGAAGATGGCCATCGTATCTCCACTCAGTCTCCTCTTTTCCAGGCTAAACATACCCAGTTCCTTCAACAGCTCCTCATAAGGCTTAGTTTCCAGACCCTCGGTTGCCCTCCTCTGCACACGTTCTAGCTTGTCAATATCCTTCTTAAATTATGGTGCCCAAAATTGGACACAGTATTCCAGGTGCAGTCTGACCAAGGCAAGAATTGCAGACTCCATGTTATAGCCATGATAGGTGCAAATCACTATATGGGGAAGCTTGGTTCCAGTGTATGACAAACAGAACATGCAGTCTGCTAATGAATCAAAGATTGCATGACATTCCCTGATAGAAAGAAAAATGGGTCCCCATTGCATCTGTGGATCATCACGAACACAGAATATGCCATAGGCTTTTAGGTAATGCTTGCACAGCTTTATTGGCAATGGCCAGCTTAACCTTAACAAAGACAAGAGTGCTGGCTACATGGGAAAGATTATGAATTTATAACATATTCTAACCTTTACTGCAGAGGTTCAAGAAAACAACTATCACTGGTGTCTGACAAAAATATTGATATTCCCTAGTTATTTTAATCAATGAAGCAGAATCCTCATTGCTAACTAATGTTCATAATGAAGCTTTTAAAATACAATTAACAAATGATAATGACTTAACTGTCAATTGAATGGTTCACCCACAAGCTGTTACTCCAATAAAAGATCAGAAACACACGGAACAAAATCTATATTTTATTGGTCTTTCTTTCATTCTTTCTTTCTGCAAACCTATTTATAGCATCTGTAGTGTCACTTGCTGCTATTATAAGATTTTAAGTTACGGTAAACATTTGTTTTGTAGGACACAGCTGGACCATGTTCTTATTTTCAGGACAATTTATTTCCTGGGGGGGGGAGTCACTGTTCCAAAAAATATTAACTTCAGAAACATTTTGCCATGCTTTCCAGATTGCTCTAGAAGCAGAACCCCTACTATTCTTTATTCATTTCCATGTCAACTCTCTATCCTGCTTTTCTGTCTTATTAATCAGGGCCAGTGCTAGTCTAATGAAAACGTTGTATGACTGCAATATAATCAATTTGAAGATTTTTTTCCTCATCCAACATATTATAGTAACACTGCATTCTAAAAAATTGGTTCACTATTTAATATTGAATTCACAGTCTTGTTTCTTTATTAAAACTTGTTCTACCAAATTTTATCCAAGTTTAGTCTCAACATGAGAAGTGTCCTAAATAGTAGCCAATGTTGAAAATGTTGGATTTGTGTGTTCCTGAGTGTTCCATGGAGCTTTTCTGTTAATTTTTTTAAAATGTATTTTTCTCATAGACACAGAGTGTGTTGGCTTCCTTGGCTATAGTAATCCTGTATGCTTTAGTTAATAAGGCTACAGCTGAGCTAAGTAACCAGGTTTTTGGATGTGGTAAAGAGCATCTTAAAGAAAGAAAAGGGCACTCAGAGCCAAGCAATTTTGATTTTCAGCACCATTTGTAATTCAGTTATAAATGAACTCATTCAAGAGAACAAAGATATTTTTTATCTTTATTTTGTTCTGCCTTTATCATAAAAGAGCATAAGCTTCAGAGAATCGCTTTGGCAAGCACTGAATGATGCATAAAATGAAAATTTCTTATCCTGTGCATGCAGCAAGTCAGAAATATCACAACTGTGCTCTGGTGCTCCTTTAAGTGGGTGTCTTTGCGGCGATACATTATATTGACCTCATAGGAAGCCCGAAACATCTCTGTAGATGAAAAGAATTACCAAACATGGCAGAGTCTCCATCTGCCTTCTCCAAACACGGTTTTCTCTAACTCAGTTAATAATATCAATAATTTCATTGCCCTCATTTCCCCCAGTTGACCACCCCAAATAAAAAGTTTTATGTGAGCAATTCACTGGTTAATCATGCTATTACTCTCATTTTCCTCATTTATTCCAGACAGTTTCATTTTAGAAGTCTACTGAATACAATCATTCTTTTTTTAAAAATGCAGACATTCTTAAATTTTGTTTTGTGTACTGAAACATTCCTATCCAACCTTACTGTTTTAACCCCACCTCAAAAGCTGACATAGCAGTGAAAATTAAACACAGATGGGATCCAACGAAAAAGGTAATCCTTAAGGGGTTTCCCCACTCTTGCAATATTTAATTTCTTTACAAATATAAAAGCAGAGCACAAATGGAAGTAAAAAGCAAAGCACACTTATTTCCAGATCTTCAGGGGGAGGCACCCTTTCTTTCCCCAAATGTTTTTGCTTGCAATCCGTTGATTCCCTCAGAGGTAGCTAATCTGTGGCCTTCAAAAATGATATTGGGCTCCAGTTCTCTTCATCCCTGTCCATTGGTTTTGCTGGCTGGGCCTGATGGGAGTTGGAGTTCAACAATATTTGAGGGCTAGAGGTTAGCCACCCCTCCTTTATACACACCCTGAGCTAATTCAGGGTTTTTTTCTGTCAGGAGGAAGAGGTCTTCTTCATCTTTGGGCCCTGCCTTGATTTTTCAACTCTCCAGGTTTGGCTTGGAGTCTCCAGGAACCATCCTGATTCCTTCACCCCACCAAGTTGATAGGTATTGTCAATCAAATGGTGTGTGTGCCCCATGTCTTGTGACTGATTGTGCAGGGCGGGGCTTACCTATCCCCCCCCCCATATTTTATTCAAGTTGGCAGCCTGCCTGAGGCCAATTTTGGACTGAGCAATGGTGTTGTGAAGGCCAAGCTGCAGGTGCAACTAAACATTGACATGACCTCTGCAGAGTTCCTCAGCTTCTTAAAGAAGAACACAGATCTGCTAAAAACAGCAAGAGATAAGCTTAAATACAAATTTAAAAGGAAGGAAGCTGGGGGCAAGCCAATGCAGCTTTAAAGTAAAACCATCACATTTAATAGCAAGTCTTTCAGTATGAAGGTGTCGTGCTAGCTGCCAAGCAGCAGGGAGAAAGGATGCAAGAAGCTTTGGTTACAGAAATGATCTCAGAGTGTGAGTAGTTGTCTGGTGAGACCCACCATTATTCCTGGGGTTAACTGTTTAAAGGGGAATTAAAGGTGTGGCATTGGGTCTGTGAATTCTAACCAGCATTTAGAGGTTGCCCAAAATTTCAGCCAGCACTGGCAACCCTAGCTCTGCCATCTTTCGCCTTCTCTAGAAGGTGCCTCCGCTATTTCCTAGCCATTCTAAGGCATTTGTATGTTGTGGATATGAGCATGCCTGGCCACTGACCATCATGGGACTGGAGGGGTCTTCCGAGCTCCCTTACCCCTCTTCTGTCCAGACTATAGTAAGTCTATAAGCATGATAAATGGAAAAGGTTTGCAAGAGTAACAAACCTTATAAAAACTGTGTCTGGGCCCAGCAGGAAGGATTTCATTCATACTGCCCCCATTAATTAACCAGAGTTGCTAAACAGGAAAGTGTCTGTATATTTTCAGTTTTATGGATACTAGCTTGACTTTATATTACCATTAAGTTTCAAACACAATTTAATAAATGTTTGATGGTTCTTCAGGGCTAATGGATTATATAAACCTACACCTGATTACATTATAGCTATTTCATGAAGTCTCCTTCAAATGGTTCTCATTCAGAAAATGGTGACAAGCAAACTGTTATTGGCTGACTAAGCAAAGGCCAAGTACAGAGAGAAAATAAGTAATTTCGGATTATTGGTATCTGTGTAAAGCATCTTTTATGAAATTTACTTTAATTTTTAATACTTCTCACCTGGTGCAGGATATTTGGCTTGTAAATGGGTGTTACAGATGATCAAGGCAAACAGCAAGAAACATAAAAGTGCATTTTGGAACAATAAAACTTCCAGGGTCAAAGAGGAGTCATGTAGCACAAATGCTCTGTGAAGTTGTGTCCCACTATAATCACCAGCTAACAATTCTCGTAGTAATTGTAGTGCAATGCCATTGCTATACATTGTAATGGCCATTTGTTACTTACATTCTGACAATGAAAACACACACAAGTACTAAGGATGAAAAGAGAGACAATAATAATTAGTGTCGGTAAAGGTAATGGAACCCCTGACCATTAGGTCCAGTCACAGACAACTCTGGGGTTGCGGCGTTCATCTCGCTTTATTGGCCGAGGGAGCCGGGGTATAGCTTCCGGGTCATGTGGCCAGCGTGACTAAGCCGCTTCTGGCGAACCAGAGCAGCACATGGAAACGCCGTTTACCTTCCCGCCAGAGCGGTACCTATTTATCCACTTGCACTTTGACAACTGCTAGGTTGGCAGGAGCAGGGATCAAGCAACGGGAACTCACCCCGTCGCAGGGATTCGAACCACCAACCTTCTGTTTGGCAAGTCCTAGGCTCTGTGGTTTAACCCACAGCACCACCCGCGTCCCTCTAATTAGTGTCAGTACACCAGTGCTATTTTTCTAGAAAAAGAAGTGCTGGAACTCACCATGACGCCCACCTGAAAAGTGCTGGAGCTGAGTTCTGGCTGAAAAAAGCCCTGAAAATTTATATCAAAACACTAAGCTTATCTGATCCATAGAATCATAGAGTTGGAAGAGACCACAAGGGCCATCGAGTCCAACCCCCTGCCAAGCAGGAAACACCATCAGAGCACTCCTGACATATGGTTTATTTAGTATATGGTTTATACTATATAACATATGGTTTATCCAGTTTATACTATTACCTTACTATATATATCTATATATATATATATATATAACAACATAAACACCAGTTACAAAATTTCTCTGCTCCATAAGGCATGTGATGATGCAGTGCCCATGTCTTTTCCTAGTGAGATCCTCTAGCTCTAGTAGAAAATCTCCTTCATCCAGGAACAAACTGCAGCTGTTGCCTTTCACCCTGTTCTGCTCCTTTGCAGCAGGTGTCCTAATTGTTTATCCCCAATTTTCCATTGATCCACCCAATTGCGCTCTCTCATCTGCGCTTCTCTTTAAAGTCCTGTTTTTGCATCCTGCTCTCTCCCTGGCTGGAGGGCAAGGGATTACATCATCACCCTGACCAGAAACATTAAAAAAAGAAAAGAAATCTTTATCTAGGATTCTAATGGCTATCCAGGTGCAAGAGAGAATTCATTTGTGGAATATGTTGGCAATTTCCATCACCTATTTGTAGTTTCCACCATCTGGTAATTAGAGGCACACTGTACAGCCATGCAAATGCACATACAGTACATTCCTAATCTACTAACCTACATTATTAAAAATTCTCTCACTACCCAGAGTGGAAGAAGTTAATGAAGGGATAAGAAGCTGAATTTTAGGAGATTAAAATGCTGTTAATTTCCATATGCACTTAAGATTAATAAACTACTAATTAGGCTATGCAAATGAGGACTTTCTGAATTCCATCACAAACATTCATTTGGTACCTTATCCATAAATCACACTCTGTTAATGTATTTTGTTATGTAATTGGGGAATAACAGATTGATGAGCCAGTCCAATTAGGTCTAATTTACATGTGTATGAAATTTGTTAATAAAGTATTACGAATCTAATATTCAAGTAAGAGGAAACTAATTATAACATGTACTTGCCTTACTTTGAAAGAAAATTATCTTTAAAAAATGACTGCTACATGGCTGAACAAGAAGCAGGAACACAAAAATAGTCTAGAATTTTAAAAGTTGCTAAAAGTATATTATGCATAAACTAAAAAAATCCCCCACACGGCCCCAGAATGACAGAACACTTAGTCTATCACAGATAAATAAAATAGCAGCCACCATAAGCAGTCACAGAGAATACCTTTATGCAAAAATATCTGGTATGGTTGTCAAAATCCTAAGGGCTAATAATTTTAACTATCTGAAAAAAATGAATAAAGTTTTATTTTATTCATTATTTTATTCATACACACACAAAAATAAAATTACTAAAACTAACTTAAATACAGAAAGTATAAATAATACCAATACAGAAACCACCCAGAAATTGATACAAGAACCTGTTTTGATATGGCAAACTGTGGAGGAAATTAGGGAAAAAGCAGTTGCTGCTGAAGGTAAAGTAACACAACTGGAGAGAAAGAGAAAGAGAGCCCCAGCCCTATAGAGGCAATTTGATGAACATAAGTTAACGCTTCCTACGACTGAACTTAAAGAAAAACAGACGAATTTGAGGATTAGAGTTCACCTTTGGTGGACATGCCCAAGGATTAAGACACTCTGGGAGATGATTCATAACGAAATGAAAAAGGTATTTAAATATACCCTTTTGAAGAAACCAGAGGCCTTTCTCCTGGGCATGGTCGGCCAATTGGTGTTAAAGAAGGATAGAATTTTTTTCATGTATGCAACAATAGCAGCAAGAATACTCATTGTGAAGTACTGGAAGACATAAGATTTATCCATTCGGGAAGAATGGCAGATGAAGTTGATGGACTATATGGAATTGGCGGAAACGACTGGCACAATCCGAGACCAGGGAGAAGAGTCGGTGGAAGAAGACTGGAAAAAGTTTAAGACTGTTTATAGAAATACTGTAAAATAATGAATGTTAGAAAAAGGTTGGAATGAAGTTATATGGCTTTAGTAGAAATGTTATAAGGAATCAAGTATAAATAGATTAATAGTGTATTAAAGGGAAAATAAGGCTAGAATATGTTAAGATAATCATAGGATAGAAAACAGAGGAAGATGGAAAGGAATTGCTGAAATAATTAACAGAAGTGGAAAACAAAAAGGGAGGTGTGAGGAGGTCGTGGAAATAAGGGATTGAAAAATAAGACATTGAAATTGTTTTGTGTTTGAAATAGTTTGTGTCTTGCTTTGTTAGTTTTATGTTTTTCTTGTTTTTCTCTTTTTTCCTTTCTTTTTTTGTCTTTCTGTTTTGTTGTGTTTAAACGGTTGAAAATTAATAAATATTATTTTTTTAAAAATGAATAAAGTTGTTATAGTAGACCACATGATTAATGCTAGGTTGCTGATATCAGGCTGTGTACAAACTCCTGTTTACTCTGCATCCAATATACTCCCACCACTGCTTTTAGCCACAATCCACATCTATCCTGTTATTTCTTAATAAATACTACAATAAATAAAGAATAAAATAAATAAAGAATAAAATAACGCAATACCCAAATCAGCTTGGGTCTAGTTTAGAAACCTAAGCCATAGGAAGGCGCCCCCTGCAGCCACTGGTGTGGACAGACAGCACACAACCAGGAAACACGGCTGGGAGGTGCACAACACTCAGCAAGGCAGCGAGGGAGGCGGAGACGACTTGGCTTCATTTTAAGTCTGTTGTGTGTCTGCAGCCAACCCTCCGTTGCCAGAAAAACCCACTCTTTGGTTTCTTTAAACTTTTCAACATAAATCAATGGGTTTAGGATCACAGGAATTGATTCATACTATCAACAGCACTAGAAATCTGCTCTATGTTCAGCATATCTTCCAACCTGGAATCTCATTCACCTTAAAGAATTCTGTGGCTCTTAGGAGTTCTTGGTCACTATCATTTCAGATTGCATTTTGAATATGTCTCCCATCAAAAGTTCACAGGAAACCAGCTTGGAAACCTATTCTGATCTTTCTCTCTGGGGCGTTTTATGTGCAACAAAGTGTTTGAGTGTGTGCTGTGGAAGACCTTCTTCTGTTCTACCCTGGTACAGTCCAGGAGATCCAAGGCCTCTGGGATTTATCGTCATCTATAGATTAGCTCTTAGTTTTCTGTTTCAAATATATTTATATATCAACCATTGGTTGAGAAAGAGAGAGAAATCATGAACCCGTTATCCATTAAGTGTTTGAATACAAGAGGATATCAAGATGGAATCTTGGACAAGGAAAAGAGTTTTCTTGACTCTCTGCAGCTTCACATCTTTCCCACAGATTCCAGCCTGATGCAGCTCTTATTGCCTGTTTTGAAGCTAGAAATTTGCTTGTCCTTTATATATATTTATTAAATCTGCATTAGCATACAGCCATAGCAAAATAAGACAATACAAAAAAATGTTGGGGACAAGCAACCAAGCAAAATTCAAAGCGATATTGCTGGCGTAATGACATTTAAAACACCCTAAGACAATAATACAAAGATTTGGTTGCCAGCACCAAAAAACTAGTATGCGGATATAAATAAAGCATAAAATGGCCCCAAAATAGGCTCAGCACATTGAGTTAAAAAGGTAATAAAAGAATTAAACAGGTCCAGGACTAGGGCACACTACCCTGTCAGAGTAGCCCTGAGTTTCAGAGCCTGCACTGTGAAGATTGCCACCCCACGTGAAATTTGGGGATTTGCGTCCACAAGAAGTGCTTTCAGACAGTCTTCCTTAGATGAAATGGAGGACGGGATCAAGAGGAGGAGCTTAGGTCTTATTGGGTCATAAATAGGGCAGTAGAAAAAGAAATGTATGAAGTCCTCTACTTCATTCATTGTGCATGGACATAGACGCTGAGTAATAGGGGTCTTAGAGTAGGTCCCCTGCAAGAAGGCCGTGGGTATAGAATGAAAACGGGCCATTGTAAACGCTCTTCTCAAGTTGGGCTCCGTCAGGTCTATCAAGTAGTTGGCAAGTGATCTTACCACTTTCACTTTAGGGAGCCACATGGAGAGCGAGCTGAGGTGGACTGTGCCCGGTCCATGGCCTCATCTCTTATAAGAATCCAGTCCCGGATTTTATGTTGGTCCCAAGATGACAACGTGTCGAATTCTGGGAGGGAGTAGCGTACAGTAATAGTCTCCATGGCCTTGGACCATTTGTTGGAGTGAGAACAAGTTAAAAGGCTTGCCTGGCTAGTAGGAACCTGGGGCATTGATTAATTTGCAATAAAAACTAATAATTCTAATATGGGCTCTCGCAACAATGGAGGGAGGCCCAGTTCTGTTCTTAACTGAGCAGCAACCGAGCCCTTAGGGAGACCCAGTAACTTTCGTACAAAAGAGTTTTGTAGAATCTCCAGCCGTTGAAGTGTTTTTAAATTCCACCCCCAGATTTCAACCCCATACAGTAACATCGGGAGGACTTTGCTAATAAATGCTTTTCTGATTGGTGGAACCAACTGGCCGCCTTTTGCATAGAAGAATTTCTCCAAGGCTTTGATGGTTCTACGGGCAGCCAGGATGGTCATATTTAGGTGAGCTGACCAACTAAGCCCATGCTTGTCCTTTAGAATGGCATCTAAAATAACTCTCTTTTCCCTCCAGTTGCATTTTATCTCTTTTCCAACTCCTTTTCTTGCAGAGATGCCACATGCAAATTGCCTTTTAAAACAAATAAGGAGTGTGGAATATATGCATATTAAACATCCGGCGATACACTGAGCCTGCCCTTTATGGGGCAGTTCTTTGCTCAGAGACCATGTGTGTGATTGAGAAGAAAAGTGCCTGGGGACAAATGGGGGGGGCAGAGAAAGGTTGGAAATTCTATCAATGCATAGAGAAATGTTATGAATGTCTTGCCAACCACCCCCTATTTATGCCAATTTCAGGACAGAAAGGAAGGATAATGAACAGATAAAATTACCTCAGCTTTTTCTTCTCTATGAAGCTAGTGGCTGAGGAGATGCTGCCCAAATGCTGTGACGGTTACCATGTGTGTCCATAACTATTCTTCAGCATCTGCTCTTTGAGTGCAATTGGTGCATTCCCAGTGTGACTGAATGGGTCCTGGAAACATAATGATTCTGCTTTGCCCAGGCAGGCACATTATGTGGCCCATGAGAGCAGCAAAATAGCTGGACTGTACAATTGTGATGAGATAAAATCAGGCCAAATCTTTATTGACAGCAGCAGGCAGGGTAAGGGCTGGCATGGCATTGGGTCCCAGGATCAGTTCATTGTTCCACAAACCCTACATTGATGGAATGGGTCCACCCCGTTTGGAGAATCTCAAGCCCATTCTATGGGAGCCGGCCACTGTGGAACCTGACCCGGGTGCAAGTCAAGCAAGCAAGGTCTCGCTGGGTGACCAGGGTACGGATTCCAGCCAGGCAGACCCCCCCAACCCGAGCTTGGGGGTGCCATGGTCAATCCTCCCCACCTGTCCCTTCAGGGTTGCAAATCCCAGTAATTAGATTTCTATTTCTACATTTTTGAAAGCATTTACTAGTAGACAAGACCCTTTGTTACTAAATTCATCATAAGTACTCTTAATTCTAGCCAATGCCTTACCTATTTGTTCAGTTTCTAAGAACTCAGATGCATTTTTACCAAAAAAAAATGCAATCTTGATTACTGGGTTCCTTTCCCTTTCTAATTGTAAGGATGTCTTTACAATTTCAAATGCATGTGACCGTTCCATTTTCTTCTGCATGAATTCATGCCCGCTGAATTCATGCCCGCTGAATGAATTCATGCTTATTTATCAGAGAAGCCAACATGGTCCACTTCAGATATTGGTGGGCTACAAGTGAAAAATTTAAGAAGGATATTGGCAAACTGGAACGTGTGCAGAGGAGGGCAACCAGAATGATCAAGGGACTGGAAACCAAGCCTTACGAGGAACGGTTGAAGGAGCTGGGTATGTTTAGCCTGGAAAAGAGGAGACTGAGGAGATATGAGAGCCATCTTCCAATATCTTAAGGGCTGTCACATGGAAGAGGGAACGAGCTTGTTTTCTCCTGCTCTGGAGTGTAGGACTCAAACCAATGGTTTCAAGTTACAAGAAAGGAGATTCCAACTAAACATCAGGAAGAACTTTCTGACAGTAAGAGCTGTTCAACAGTGGAACAGATGTCTCCCTTGGGAGGTTGTGGACTCTCCTTCCTTGGAGGTTTTTAAACAGAGGTTGGATGGCCATCTGTCATGGATGCTTTAGCTGCATAGCAGGGGGTTGGATTAGATACCCCTTGGGGTCTCTTCCAACTCTATGGTTCTGTGATTCTATGAACTCTAATCAGCCCCAACTTGCATGGCCAGTTGAATTGTAGTCTAACAACATCTTGGGGACACCACATTGTCTACCCTTAATGTAGATGGTTCAGAACCTTTCTGAGGTTTCTCATTGAGCTTCATGTTGCAGTTGTTTCTGCAGTTGCTTCAAGAGTGACAACTACTCCTTGTTACCATGTTGCACCATAAGGTTTCATGAATAAACCAGGAAAACCAGGATCACCTTTCCCCTCCATAGTTGATGATAGAAGAAACATCCAGGGATGTGTTGCTTAAATTGTCAGTGTCTCGTTACAAACAATAGCCTTTTATTCCTCTCTCTGAAAGCAGCACTAGCAAAACTTATTAATTGCTTGGGAAAGAAAAGGAAAGCTAGATGTTTTGTGCTATTAACATATGCTGACTTTGCCTCATTGAAGTACGAGTTCATAAGTCCAGAGCTGCTGTCACTGAGCAAATGAGCTTATTTGTCTTACTTTAGTCTCAGGAGGACAGTTGCCAACAATCTAGTGCTCCTTCGTGCATGCACATTAGCACAGATCTGCACACTTGCTGTCAAAGAAGTCCACCCAGTTTAACTTTGAGAAGTTTTCTAAAGGAAGCGCATTACAAACAGATAACTTATCAAGGTGATGGATTGCCTTATCAGTGTGTAATGCACTGTTCCAAAATGATACACATAAAACATGTGCTGATTAGTATCAGCCAAATGCAATGCCCTATTTTGGGGTACTAGAAAAAAGTATCTTTTGCAGCCCCCCCCCCCCCGCCAGCTGCAGATATAAGGCACCCTTTACTGGTGAGATAAGGTGGTTCTGAACAAAGAATTATTTTTGCCTCAGTTGTCATCACAGTTAGTGGGAAAAGATGAGGCAAAAATCATTCTGACCTACACATTGCAAGCTTTAATACTTGTAGCCATAGACCATCTCAAATCTGCAAATAAGGGCCAATATATTAAAACAATAATATCGCTACATCCACTACTGATTAAAAACTGCATGTCAGATATTGATGGTGATGTTACCTCTGCTTGTATAGTTTGGATGATCTGCTTTTTATTTTATTTTTGGATTGATTCACTTGGTGAATTAATAAGTGTACAGTGTTGCACTTACGACTTGCGATGCAGTCCTAGTCATGCTCACTCAGATACTAGTCTGAGTGAAAGAGGTGTATGAAAACTTAGAGCATGTGAAAGAGCAATTATAGAGGTCTGTAACATTAATGCAGGACATTCTCACACAGAAGCATATACAAACCAGTGGGTGACACTGACTATTTAAGCAAGACTGGATGTTGAGTGATAGTTTGAAGCATGGCACTTTGTGGCATCTCAGTTCAAACACTAACACTGTTGTCTCCTCCCAAAGGTGAGTCTTTCGGAATGACAAAGCTCCAGGTAGTCATGGCAGCCACATCCTTTATTCTCCCAGGTAGTAGTCCTTCCAAGATGTGAATACATCCTGCGCTGTCCAGAAAGTGAGCAGAGCCATAGCTCATTCTTGAGAAAATAAAATCAACCGTACATCAAGTGTAACAATGTTGTGGTGCAGACTACTGCATGCTTTGCCAAAGTTGTTTTCAATAAGCATCGGATGGAAATCCAGTCAGCCTTGTCATGTAACTAGGGAAATACTCTGAATGCTTAAATACAAAATACCAAAACAATCTAGCATTGTTAAAGCAAGTGAATGCAAAACAGATTTTTGAATGAACACCTGTGGCATGGTATCTGGATAACCCTGATGTTCCCCAGATCCCCGGCCGGGGACTGTGAGGGATAAACGCCCAATGCCTAAGCCAAGGTCTCCCTACATCTGAAGCTTTAATAAAGTTGTGGCCAAATTTTAATCCCATAACATGTTGTCTTGAGTCATTATTCCACTTGGGTGGAAGAAGAAGAAGAATACAACAAAAGGGATGAGCTCCACTTGAATCAAGAGGGAACCAGACTGTTGGTATCTATCTATCTATCTATCTATCTATCTATCTGAAATAAAGTGGGAGAACAGCTTCTAAAATGATTGCCAGGGCAGGAGGTCCTAAAAGGAGTTGAGGGAGTGTCTGGTTTGGAACAACTTCATCCCCTGGTATGAAGGTTAAAAAAATATGATTCTTTAAATTAGAAAGGGGTATAACTAGGCACTGAGAATGCAAGGGCACAGGATAACAATTCAAAGAGGCCAAAACAAAACAGAAGTGCCAAAGACATTTGGAGAGAGAGAGAAACTAGAAGCCTCCAAGTCAAGATGAGCAGTCTGTAATGCTTGGTCTTAGAGGACAAAACTGGCATAGTAGTGCCAAGTGGTGGTTCACGGCCTGTGCCAGTCTAAGCGACGTTGGCTGCCAGTCCCTGACAACTCCAGCATTGCTCAGGTTGAGTAAGGAGCAAATATGTTGCCAGTCCCTGACGCATTGGGGGGGGGGCAGGAATGCTGGTCAACCATTTCAGATAGTTTGAGAATCATAGTAGGTCAAATGGAAGTCTTTGGGGGGGTGAGTGGGGCACAGTTATCTTTGGGTGTAAAGTCTATAGCAGGGTTTCCCAAAGTTGGATCCCCCTTGATTTACTCCCTAGTAAGAGTGTGTAGGATTGCAGTCTTATTGGTGGCCTTTGGATTCCTCACATCCTTTCTTGATGTCTAAGGGACTAAGGGACTAACTGATCTTAGATTATGATTTGGATTGATGCATGTTAACAAGAAGTAAATATATTTCAGGATAATTTGTTGAAATCAGAGTCAGAATTGAAGCAATGCAAAGGAGCAAGATGCTACAAAATAATATAATATAAAAAAAAAGAAGTGTAATTGCATACAGTCTGTGTCAATGCATGTAGAAACACATGGACAATTTCAACATCCAGTTTCAAAAGAAAGGGGTATGGAGGGAGGGATTATCAGCTTTCTGCAGGATATTGATGATCTAGAATGACTGGGTATCAAACATTCCCAGTAGAAGTTATTATGGCAAGGAAGTTGTATAATTGTGAGGGTACTTGTTCAGTCCTAGTCCCATTTCTTCAGCAGAAATGAAGCGGTCAGTCAGTCACCTAGAAACCAAATTCAATCGGGATCCTTTCTTATGTGTGAGATGTACAAGAAAGTCATTCAGATAATTGTACCGGGCAGCCAAATCATCTGTAAACTGTAGTGGTGACATGGGGGGGGGAGGGGTAAGGCTTCCAGTGTTCATATGAGTAGAAATGTCATGCAATTCAATTAGTCACTAGTAATTTCAAGTCCCTGAGCACTCCCAGTTCTGGAGAAAGTGTGGTGCAGAGGAGCAGCGCTAGTGGCTGAAAAGGGCATAGAACTAGGGCCAAATTTGGCTCTGGGCAGATCAGGAGGGCAGGTGTTTGTGGTCTCACGTCCAGTCACCCTATAAGCAAAGTAATTTTTTAAAAATGGTTAAAAAGAGAAGAAGAAATGACCTTCACTATAGATGTAGAAAGAATAAAGGATTTGGATTGTGTCACTTTTTGTTAAAATCATTTCTATCCTTGGTTATGTTTTAATATGTTGTTTGGAAGTTTTATTCCTAAGACTTTTAGGCACTTGAAGACAAAGCTCTTTTTTGTAAGTTGCTTTGAGTTTCATTCTTCGAAAATAGGCGACTAATAAATATCATCAGCATCAAATCCTCTACAAAGGGATCTCCTATCCTGTAAGATCTACCTGCTCATGTGAATCCCTGTGAAGAGATTTATTTACCAGACTGCAAGCCTCATAGCCCCAAGGAGCATGTATCCCACAGTTGCATAACATCTTTGTATGCAGCTTTATTATAAAACTATTATTGTATCAAGTCAGGCTACACATGTAAATAGAAATATTAAATTACGTTGTTGAATGTGGTATGAAATTTATGTAATGGATTCCTTTAGTGCAAAGCAACCTCAATTCCCTTCAGCAATTTTCTATTTGGTTCAAAGCTGTTGTTTCTTTTAGATATTCCATTCCCATCAGTTAGGTATATAATCTGTTTCTAGTGAACTTACTTTTCTGTTTAGTTTTCTAAAATAGTTATTAAATTCAATAGACCATTAAAAACTCTGCAAAGTCAGTGGTTGACACCCGTATATAATGTTGTTAAATGATTTAATCTCATGGTATTTGACTTGCCGGACGAAAAGATCTATAATTTGTAATGAATATAATTTTGTTACCTCTAATTAGTTGCATGCCATTGTGCATTAATAATAGAAATTAAATAATTGAGTACCCATTAAATAATAATAGGAAAGTTTCGCAGCTATATTTATTATATAAAATCAGTGTATGCAATTTTATTAATGAATTAATATAATTATTGCCGTGGCCATTTCATTAATTGAACTTGTGAAGTTAACTGGATAATTACTTCTTTCCTCAACGTATCCTGAAGGGGAAGGAGCGATATTACAATACTATATCCCACTTAATGTTCATTGACAATTATAGTAGAGGTGTCTATTTTATTTGCTGAGATGCAAAGATTCGGAGAGCCCTTCAGATGAAGGGCAAAATATGGGTGGAATGGGTTGGCACTGTGGCTGCGTGCAACGGTCATGAGTTGGGTCATGGCGAGAGGAGAGCTGATGGGTCACTAGAAACTGGAGTGCAATAAATGGATAGGGCAATGGTCAGTTAATTTCCATGAAGACTGGGGATTACAGGGTTAGCAAATCAATGGATTTAAATTAGCTGTATGTTAGGCTCCCTTCCCTTGCTTTGAGTGTGTCTTTCTGGCAGCTGAATTTGCTGGATTGTGCCCAGTTTCACCAATGATTTTAGAATATATGTGGCAAACACCTTGCAAAAGGGGGGGCGGGGATTAAAAGCCATGACAGGTGCTAAAGTAAAAAAACAAAAACACCCCATAGTCTCATTCACACATGACAGAGAAGGCGAACTTTACTTTTGTCGATGTTGTCAGCAGTATGTCCAGCAATGTTCCAAGCTGACCTTTCTGGCCACTTCTTCATCTGCTTGCTGTAGACTGTTCATTGTTTTCTGACATTTGCTAAACTAAAAAAAAAAAGTCCTTGGGAATTTGTTTCCACCTCTTGGGAAAAGTCTGTACAGCATGCCTCTGTTGTGATAAATCTTTACCAGCCAGCTCAACACTAAGCAAATGTCAGGCAGTTAGAGAATATACCCTGGCCAGGCGGTGATAGAAAACACGCGTAGCCTCCCTTTAGGCCTGAGTGGCTCTTCTCTTGATCTCAAGGAACGCGCTGCTGCAGATGAAAGATAGTGTGCAGCCCATGCTTTGTTAATCAAGTGAGCGAATGCAGAGAGTGAAAGGTGTCAAAAGGATATCTCAGAGACAGCTGAAGTGGCAGGAACTTTCATTGTCTACAAGTTCACTCGGGAGGCCTTGGATAAATTCTTCCATCTCGGATGCCAAATGGTCGGCTCTGAAATCCATATTTAAGCAGCAAACTTAAAGGGCCATGCTTTTCAAATGTGTACTTCACATTGCTCTCCACGGTTGCTTGTCAATGTGCTTTCCATTACAAATGTGCAGAACACTCTCCAGTTCCCGCAGACATTTTGCTAGCCTGATCAAAACTTTTTTTGCTTCACTTAAAATCCTTTAGATGCTATGCCTGAAGAGGAACTCTCAGACTTGCTTTGACTTTCTCTTTAGTCAACTTCCAAGTGATAACTCTACTTATGCCCTCTGTGAACGGAAAATTTGGCTGATTCGCGAGGCCTTCAAGCCCATGGAGTTAAGGAAAAAGAGAGAGCAGCAGCCCTAAGTGCACGATGGAACACGAGGAGAAGAAGACTTCTGAAATATACTCAGAGTCGCAAAGTGATTTCATGCTCTTTATTCAGCTCATAGTGGTGAGGAGGAATGAATGAATGTCCCCTCAAAGTATCTGCTTTATATACATTATTTACACAATGGGCTGCACATGATTGGCTAAGTCCGGAATTCTACTGTAAGCCAATCAGGTTGTGGATTCACTTCTATCTGGAGCATGATTGGGTGGTTCCTGCCAACCAATCATACTGCTGCATTGTTCTAGGACCAATCAGATTGCTGCATTCTGAATCCTATTGTTCTAGGACCAATCAGACTGCTGCATTTTGGATCCTATTGTTCTAGGACCAATCAGACTGCTGCAGTTTGGATCCTATTCAACTCAGTACATAACACCCCTCCCCTCTAAGTTCCAGTCCTGCCCGGGAGGTCACATTCATAGTCCTCAAGGTACGCCAGCGGGCTACATGTGCGTTGCGGCCTGTGGTGTTCCCTGGTCCGGGGTTCAGGTTCTGGCTCGTGTTCCAAGGATGCTGGCTGTGATGGGGCTGTTTGGTCTGGCGCAACCGGCTTGCTCAGTCGTGGTTATGGTTCCGGTGTCCTTTCGGCCTTGCGGGTCCTCTCTGTATTTACTGGTTCTGCCTCTCCTGCTGGCCCCTCCTGCTCTATGGGCCTCACTGCCCCACTGTTCCCTTGGGACTCCTCTGACCTGTCCTCCTCCTGGTTTTCTCCCGGGAATCGTCGCCGTATCTGGTCGCAGTGGCGGAGCCAGCATTGCCCCCCATCCGTTAGCACCTCGTACGACAGGGGGCCAGTGACCCTGGTGACTGTGGCGGGTACCCATGCTGGGCCTGCCCCAAAATTCTTTGCGTACACTGGGTCCTGGGCCTCGAAGGTCTGGGGGTTCCTGCCTTCCCCCACCACTACCTCATCCTGAGCTCTGTCAGGGTGAAGGCTGTCCAGTCTGATTGCAAGGCACCGACCCATTAGTAGTTCAGCGGAGCTCTGGCCAGTCGTTGAGCTGGGGGTGCTGTGCTGTGCTAGAAGGAATGTGGCAAGGCGGTACTCCCAGTCCCCTTGCGTCATGCGGCGAAGGGTGTCCTTGGTGGTCCGCACCATGCGTTCTGCTTGGCCGTTGGTGGCAGGGTGGAATGGCACCAAACGGATGTGGCAGATGGCGTTCTGCGCTGTGAAGGTTTGGAATTCTCCTGACGTAAATGCAGTCCCATTGTCTGAGATGAGAGTGTCAGGGAGCCCGTGGGTTGCAAACAGCCTGCGTAGTACCCGGATGGCTGCGGACGTAGAAATGGACGGTACCAGTGCGACTTCCAGCCATTTGGTGTAGGAGTCCACCACTATGAAGAATGTTTTCCCCTGAAAGGGGCCAGCGAAGTCCACATGCAGGCGTGACCATGGTGCTCGGGCAGACTCCCAGGACTAGACTGGGGCCCTTGGGGGATCTGGGCGGGATTCTTGGCAGGCCTGGCATTTGTTTGACCCAGGCCTCTATCTCTCCGTCGATCCCCGGCCACCACACATAACTCCTGGCAAGGGCCTTTGTAATGAGTATGGGTTGCTCGTGCGTAAGTTGCCGCCTCTCCTGGCTATGTTGCCTTGTTAAACCTTTCTGTCTGGACAGCCCTTCACTTTGTGGCAGCCTCAGTCGCTAGCAGAATCCGTCAGTGGGCGTTTCTTAAACCTTTTCCAACATAAAAGTTGTTTGACGCCAAGTCTCCTCCTACTCTCCCTGCGCGGAAGCCTTCTGCGTAGGGAGGGTGTGGGTAGCGGAGGACCCGTGCTCTCCCCGCTGGTGTCCGGTGAAGAGTCCTGGAGCCCTCTCGCCGATTCCCCATCTGCCCCCCTTTATCCCTGGTGTTGCACTGATTTGCTTCCCCATCTGCTGAGCTGCCTCTCTCCCTGCTGGGCCCTTCTCCAGCATCATTTGAGAGCCTTCCCTCCGCCTCTAGCTCCGATGTCAGTTCCCTGACAGCCTTCATTCTTACTACCCCTGGGTGTGTCTCGTGTAGGGCTGTGAGGACCCTGTTGCGGAGGGGCTGGGGAACAACGACCCTGCTTCCCCATAACAGGCACCCCTTGTGGGCCGACAGTTCATGTTTGCGGGTTGTGTAGCCGGCAAATTCTGGCCCGGGGCTGCTGCTGGGCCATCCCCTCCACACCCAGTCCAGGACCCGGAAGATGACCCTATCTTTCTTGGAATGGTGTGCAACTTCTTGTGCCTGAATGGGGCGGTCGGGAAGCAGCTCCAGGCTCATAACCTCTTCTGCAGGTGCTGGGTCGGGGCCTGTTTCCGGTAGTGGTAGCCTGCTGAGGGCGTCCGCATGGCCCATCGCCTTCCCAGGGCGGTGAATCAGTGCATACTGGTAGCTGGCAAGGAAAATTGACCACCTGAGGACGCGAGGAGACAGCACTTGGGGGGTCTGCTTTCGGGGCAAACAAGCCAAGCAACGGCTTGTGGTCAGTCACCACGGTGAAGGGCCGCCCGTACAAGAAATCATGGAATTTTTTTACTCCCTTCATGATTGCCAGACCCTCCTTGTCGATTTACGAGTAGTTCCGCTCAGTTGCGTTGAGTGTCTGGGAAAAGTATGCCACCCGTACCTCTCTTCCATCTGGGAGTTGGTTTCCAGGACAGTGGCAATGCCATAGGGCGAGGCGTCGCATGCTAGCACCACCGGCAGCCTCTCGTCGAAGTGTGCCAAGACCGAGTTTGAGACAAGCAAGTCCTTGACTGCCTGGAATGCGGCCTCCTGGCGCTGGCCCCACACCCAAGGGGCCCGCTTGTCCAGGAGTCTGTGTAGGGGCTCCGCTACCGCCGCCTTGTGGGGAAGGAAGGAATGGTAAAAGTTCAATAGTCCCAAGAAGGCCTGAAGTTCAGTCTTGCTCTTGGGCGCTGGGGCATCACAAATGGCCCGTACCTTGTCCCCAGTCGGGTGGACCCCTTCTACGTCCACCATAAATCCCAGAAAGTCCACTTGAGGCACTCCTAGTAGACATTTTTCCCGCTTCACCTTGAGACCCGCCGTCTGGAAACGGTGCAGAACAGTGCAGAGGCGGTCCTCAAACTCCTCTGGTGTGGGCCCAGCAATCAACACATCATCGAAGAAGGGGGTAACGCCAGGAATCCCTTTAAGGAGGGAGTCCATTAGATTCTGGAATATGCTTGGTGCCACACTGACACCGAATTGCAGCCTCTTTACCCTGAACGCTCCTCTGTGCGTCACAATCGTCTGTGCCTCTGCTGTGGCCTCATCTACTGGCAGCTGTTGATATGCTTGGGCCAAGTCCAGCTTGCCAAAAATTTTCGACCCAGCCAGGGTGGCAAGGACATGGCTGACCACTGGCACTGGGTATGCATGGGCCGTGAGGGCCTTGTTTATGGTACATTTGTAGTCTGTGCAGATGCAGACCAAACCATTAGGCTTGACGGGTGTGACAATTGGGTTTTCCCGGGGGGCATTAGGCACCGGCTCCAGCACTCCTTGCTCCACGAGCCGGTCCAATTCCTTGTCTATACGGGGTTTCAGGGCAAACAGGACCCGGCAGGCCTTGAGCCTGACCGGTCGTACTGCGGGGTCAAGCTGTAGAGCAATGGGGGGGCCCCGTATACTGTCCCAATTTCCCATCAAAAACCCCCGGAAATTCCTTGCATATGGCGTCCACTTGTAAGCTAGTGTGGTTCACCCCGGTGACGGCTAGCCCCAGTGGTCCAAACCATGCCAATCCCAGTAAGCCCTTGACCACAAGCAAGTCCAGTTGCTGCGTCCGCCCTCGGTATTGCACCCTGAAGGTCCCCACCCCCATTGTGGGGACCTTACGTTTCTGGAAGTCCCGGAGGGTGAATGGGGTCGGCCTGAGTTTGGGACCCCCAGTAGGACACAGTTTCCTTAAGGTCCTTGCCGAGATTATGGATAGAGTTGAACCCGTGTCAAGCTCCATGCGGCATGGGGCCCCCTCTATCTGTACCTCTACATAAATTTTCTCTACGTTGGGGTGGGGCAACTGGTATACCTGGAAGTCCGTGAGCTCCGTCGAGTTGCCTTGGTGTATTGGGCCCCGGGACCTGGGGCTCTTGGATTGGTCCTCTGATGCCTGGCGTCGGGTGGGCCGAGCTCGACACACCCGGGTGATGTGTCCTGATTTTCTGCACTGCCTGCACTCTGCGTTGCGGAAACGGCAGGTCCTCCTCTCGTGACTTTCCCCACAGCTTGCGCAGTTCCCTCCTCGTCGAGGCAGCTGTGGTCTGTGCGCTGCTTGAGTGCACTGCTGTACTCGGTGCACCTCCTCCCTGTCAGATCCTGAGTCGTCGGTGAGGTCTTCGTGGTGGACCCTTGGTTGGGACGGCAGGCTCAGCCGTGCTTCTTGTGTCGACCTCTCAGCAGCTTCCGTTGCCAGGGCCTCCTCCAGAGCGACCTGGAACGTTAGGTCCTTCTTAGCCTAGAGGCGTCGTTGCAGCTTCTCATCCTTCAGGCCACCGACAAGGCGGTCCCGAAGCATGTTCTCCAGCTCTGAGAAGTTGCAGAACCGGGCGGCTTGGTGGAGAGAGGTCACAAACCCAGTTATGGTTTCCCCAGGGGCTTGCCGCTTTGCGTAGAAGGCATTTTGACGAGCCATTGCTGTCGGTTGCCATTCTGAGTTCCTTGTGTCCCAGAGCTGAAGCCTGGATACACAGTGCGAGGCAGCGGTGCGGCAGGTGGCAGTGCTGCGGTGCTGTGTGTGGCAGTCAGCTCAGCGGGATCCCACCTTCGTCGCCAGTGAAATATACTCAGAGTCGCAAAGTGATTTCATGCTCTTTATTCAGCTCATAGTGGTGAGGAGGAATGAATGAATGTCCCCTCAAAGTATCTGCTTTATATACATTATTTACACAATGGGCTGCACATGGCTAATTCCGGAATTCTACTGTAAGCCAATCAGGTTGTGGATTCACTTCTATCTGGAGCATGATTGGGTGGTTCCTGCCAACCAATCATACTGCTGCATTGTTCTAGGACCAATCAGACTGCTGCATTCTGAATCCTATTGTTCTAGGACCAATCAGACTGCTGCATTTTGGATCCTATTGTTCTAGGACCAATCAGACTGCTGCAGTTTGGATCCTATTCAACTCAGTACATAACAACTTCCAAGGGGGCTGGGCACGAAAAGGCTTGTTGAAAGACAGAAGCCCAGAGCACTTCAAATGTGAACTCCTTCTTAAGGGGCACAGTCTTGATGAAGGCTAGGCACACATTAGCTGCTTCAAGCTCAGTGTGGTCATTCCACCTCTCTGCATTTCGAGTCACTTCCTTACATTGCTATATACACCAGAGAGAGAGCAGGGATGTCGTCGCTCAATGTGCATTATCTGGTTTGTTTCCCTGTGGTGAACGCCAGCGCACTGAACCCGGGAGGGACTTGCTCAACCCGCCGTCTTCATCAGGGAAATGAGCCACAGCAGCAGATCTGACCTAATGGCTGCAATGTTTGGTATATTATTTCTACTTTGTGGTTTTTGTTTTTTCTCATCCTAGCCCTAACCCTGCCTAGTGTAACATCGTGCCTAATGAAGAGTTCAGGGGAACTCAAAGGCTGACCACATTTTTGTAGCTTTTTGACTTGTTCCACCCATGGCCTTTGGATTTTTTTCCCAGTACAACATTTTGTAAAATTTTGTCAATGCAACAGCTGGCATGCCTGAACCCATGTGTGCCTTTCTTAGAACAGCATGTCTTATAATTAGACTATTCAACAATCTTTGGGGGGGGAGGTGGGTAGGTGGTAAATCTGCTCATTTGCCATTTGCAGACTGGAGCAATGTAGTTTTTTTAATAAAGAATGCAAAGTTCACTGATGATTGACTGCAAAGAGATGTTTGTGAGCCTGACTGCAAAGCATCACAACAGAGCTCATAATATAGACAGGAATAACACGTTTTCCATTAATCACTATTTTCTTGTTATGTTTGTCCCAAACTTAATGGCACCATGTCTAAAATAAATTGTTATTGTGACTGCCCTTCCTATGTGATAATACAATCCTGACTTGGCGGTTCATAACAACATTATTCAATGCCACTGACAGTAATGAGGCAACTTTGAGATAATTACTGTGGAATTAGCATCGTGTGCAATGATTTCTTGAGGTCCTGCTTGTGAAGTGATAAGAATAATTAAATAATTGAGGTTGTGGACATAATATGATAATCACCTCCCTATGCCTTATTTTTTATTTCAAGAACACATTTTTCACCTCTTGCCCCAACTCATGTGGGGTGTTACTATCTCATGGCAACCACAAGTCTCCAGAGTTTTATTTATATGACCCACTTGAAGGAGAGTAGAGAAAGTGCTGAGGGTGCTTAAAGAAACTACAGAAATGAGCTTTTCCTTGTCAAGCTTTATCTGCAGCAGAACTGCTGAGAGGAATACTGCTGGTGTGCCTCTCCGGGTGAAGTTCTGTATTCATAAAAGAATAGGAACGTGGCTGGCAAGTGGATGGCTGAGTGAGTCCTTCTTCCACTGTGACATGTGAAAGGGATCTTGCATAGAAAAGGAGCACTATAAGCTATCAGGGATCCTTGAGGTTCTGCAGGCCCTGTGCACGAGTCCCCGGTGTAAGTGAGCATCAAAGGCTCATGAAATGCAGAAGAGCACCTGCTTTTTGGCTTTGGCAACACTGCACAGACATGACACAGGAAGGGCAGAGAAGCAATCAGCTCTCTCCTTCCTAAGGAACACTGACACTTAGCCAGTCCATTGGTTCATAACAAATTGTAGCTACTGCTATAAGCAAGCAAATGGGTCTGTGTACTAAGGGATTGTCAAGGTACAAAATGTGTTTCTTTGGCTTCCACTGAGAATATTGCTTTAGTTGTTACTATTAGATGTAAGAAGTAAGCATACCTAATAATTTTAAAATAGGTTGCTTCTTAATCCCTTTCCCCCCCACCCAAAGGAGAAATTTCTGCTTGCTTACAAGAAGCCTCACTTAAGGGCATCCTGTGTTGGCACTGGACATTAGCCAGGCTGGCAAAAATTAATCCCTACCTATCCTCCTTGTGTTAGAAGGGTTGTGGGGAAATTAGGTTCACTTCTTCATGTTTGGTGGGAGTGTCCCAGCATGTACATATATGTGAATCATAGAATTCTCAAGTTGGAAGGGACCCCAGGGGCATCTGGTCCAACCCCCTGCAATACATGAATCTCAGCTAAAACATCCATCCAACCTCTGCTTTAAAACTTCCTTTCTTTCAACTTGAAGAACGTGCACTGAAGTACAAAACAAGCTAGTTCCCTCTTCCATGTGACAGCCCTTGAGATATTTGAAGATGGCTCTCATATCTCCTCTCAGTCTCTTCTTTTCCAGGCTAAACATACCCAGCTCCATCAAACATTCCTCATAAGGCCTGCTTTCCAGACCCTTGATCATCTTGGTTGCCCTCCTCTGCACATGTTCCACCTTTTCAACATCCTTCTTAAACTGTGGCTCTCAGAACAGGACACAGTACTCCAGGTGTGGTCTGACCAAGGCAGAATAGAGTGGTACTATTACTTCCCTTGACCTGGACACTATGCTTCTGTTGATGCAGCCTAGAATAGTGTTAGCTTTTTTTGCTGCTGCATCACACTCTTGACTCATGTTCAGCTTGTGGTCCACTAAGACCTCTAGATCCTTTTCACATGTACTGCTAGTAAGCCATGTGTCCCCCATCTTGTATTTGTGCATCTGGTTTTCTCTATCTTATATTTGTGCATCTGGAGAACCTTACATTTGTGCCTACTGAAATTCATTTTGTTAGTTTGGGCCCAGTTCTCCAGACTGTTAAGGTCATTTTGAATTCTGATTCTGTCTTCTGCGGCATCAGCTACCCCTCCTAGTTTGGTGTCATCTTCCACCATATCTGCAATTACAGACCAACCTCTATCTCTGAACCCTGCCTTACTAGACATAGACATGGGCTCCACCTTGCAGCACACAGAACTAGTAGGCTTCTTACTGATTGCAGCTTGATTAGAAATAACTCAGCTGTGGAAAAATCAGTCTGAAATACCTTTGAACGTATGGGAAAATAATATCTGGGATACAGCAATGTTTGTGTGTATATATATATATATATATATATATATATATATATATATATGTATATGTATATATAAATGTATATATAAAGCACCTCACCAGTCATAGGAAGGCAATTAAAGGCATGCCAAAAAAAGATACCTCCCATGAAGCTTAGACCGCTTTTTAGAACTATTTTAATGAGAAAGATGAAGGCCTTGTTGTACTGACCACTCAGTCGTCTCAGGAGAGAGGTTGAAATGTGTGAGCATCTGCTTAAAGTCAGTGGCTAGAACAAACACCATTAGATGTACTGCTGGATAAATGTCTCATGCTTATTGGTTCTGAATTCGTTTAAAAATCAGTAAGAACTTGCTGTTTTATTTTTGTTTCTGTTTTTTTTAAAAAAGTTTGCTTCTTTTGCAATTTAGTTTCGAATGTATCAAATGGCAGAAGTATATGCTGATAGTCTAGTTTGCACATCACATTAGCCCATAGTTTGAAACCAACTATGGTTTAATCATTAAGCTTGGTTTAATCATTAGGACCCAGACTCTGCGTTCATCACCAGAGGCCCTTCTTTGTGTGCTCCCCCATGAGAGGTCTGGAGGGTAGCAACATGATAATGGGGCCTTTTATGCGGTGGCTCCCCACTTGTGGGATACTCTCCCCAGGGAGGCTGGCCAGGTGAAAATGTTCAACCAAGCCTTTGGCTGATTCTGTTGATGAAGGAAGGGAAGGGCAGTATATAAATCTAATAAATAATAATAAAATAATAATAATAATAGTGTTTTTTTTAGGAACTTGAGCTTGGAAAGACAGATGCAGTTCACTCAGTATGAAACATTGCATGGATTTGGATGTGAATTTAAGTAAAAAAAATATTAGACATCTCTGTGTGTGTGTCTTCCCCTCTCTCTCAGGAGGAGGATTGTGCTGTTAATATTTATTTTCATTTTTGAAGTATATCTTCAAATCTAGCATTGAGGCATAGCTTCAAAGAATAGTTAATCTATTTAAAACTTGTAGCAAAACTAATGCCAGCTGTTAATTCAGTTGACCTACCATGCAAGTAAATAATAGAAAGAAAGAGCGTGTTAGGTTTTGACTTGATCTGCAAGATCATAGGGAAGAATGCAGTCCCCACCCTCCCCCAAACAGTTACTCAGCCAAATAATTCTGTTACTTTTGATGTCATGCTTCCTGGTAACAATGATCCCTCTAGGAAAAGCATTAAATGTTAACCAATAATTATGATACCCATGACCATTGCCCATGGCTGATGGCTGATTTGACAACTAATGGAGCATTATAATGTTGAAAGCCTCTAATACTTCAGCAACCCAGGCATTAACTGCTCCACATGAGAGGTCTAAAGGGGTTATTACTGGCATAAACCATAGTCAGTGATTTGTAGCCGATTTTTTTCTTTTCTCCATAGAGTAATACATGGTACAGCTGACTCAGAAACTCAGTAATTCGTATGTGATTAACAAGCAATTTCCCTCTAGCCACTAGACCAGGCATGCTCTGTTACAGTAGATGCATCTTTCTTATTAACACAACCATTGTGAAAATTGCTCTACTCTTTCTATTGACTAGAATACATCTGACTCTTTCTCCTTCTTAATCCATTTTTAAGCCCAGTACCATTATCAGGATTATTTTTAAACTGTCCATAAATAGTGCATATTTACTTTGTAAGTGCTTATAAATCCAAATGTTAACTGTTTAGCCAAAAACTACAAAAAAAGTAGCTTACTCGGAACATGAAAAAAACAACAGCACAATGTAGAACGAGTAAATGCATGTGGATGTTTAAGGTTGAATTATTTCTGCCCCTATGAAAAGCTGCAGCTATCTGCTTAATGTCAGTAAAATCATCATATAGCCAAAATGCTTTGGATAAGACTATTAGATTGTTGCCTGTGTGGAGCATTATCCCTGGGGATAATGGGAGGCTTCCGCAGCCACGTGCACAGCAGGAATCTTTAGGAGCACATTGAAAGCACAGAATATGG